CAGGAATCGAAAACATCAGCGCGAAAAACTCTTGAAGCGTTTTGGATCAATGCCAAAAATTCAAAAATGAACCGCAAGGAGGAGTGTCTTGTCATCACGCGTGACCTAGCGCCATACCTCAGGCTGATCCAATGATCTGACATGGACCCAGTTATCGACCATGTATTACTCTGTGCGGCGGCTATCCACCAACTAACTTAAATACTTACAACAAATAAACAGTAGGTGTTTGAATGAAGCTGTTTCTTATGCGAATACAAATCGATTTATCAAGTTTTATCTGCTAGGGTTATGAAAGTGTTTGGCTGAGTAGATCGCATCTCAATTTGACCTTTCCAGGCTCTGAAGAAGGCGAAACCGCCGAAACGTCAGCAATTGTGTTCTAATAAATTCTATATTAACAACCTCGTGTCTGCTTATTGATGAAAAACATTGAATTAAAAAGTGATTGCTCCTAAAAACCCTGTGGAAAAAGTATCTACGACTTCCACTCGGACCTCTTCAACAACTACATCAACTTACTTTTATTTCGCGTCGGGGGTATCGACGTCTCGCTCCATAAATTTCTTTTCTAAAGTCAGGTGTGCTATTATTTTGTCAGTAAAAACTGTAAAACAACCAATTCAGAATGAATTGGAACCAAATATCTAAAGAACTCCTTAGAGTCCTCATCGGAAAGTAGATTACAGCGACTTAGTTTCAGAGCTAGGCAGGGCTGAACGAAGAGTTTCAGAAACCTACAAGAGTATCGACGATCTAGTGAAAAAAGCAGGAAACAGCCAACTCCGAGCTCACTTTTTTCTATTTATGACTCTTGCTGCATTAATGTATATCTCAGAAGCTTGTACCCTACGTAAGTATAATGAATGGACATTCATCTTGGTTCACTTATAAGCTTACACGGATTTGTAATAGAACCTCATTGTAGCTAGAGTACCGGTTCGTTCGGCAAAAGTGTTTACAGCCATTCATTTTTGTAAAATGGATTTTTGCGGTCTTATTTAGCAGAAAACAGTAGAGTAAAGAACAGAAAGAACAGCGCGAATCGTTATCATTAGAAGAAAATCATTTATCGTTATCGAATCCGCTATCAAGAAAGCGATGATAGGAATATCTCACCGATACCACATATGAAAAAAGGTGTAGTCCAAGGTTATTATCTGCGACCCTCTGAACGATTAAAGACTAGAAACGCTACCGTATACGCCAAGATCTTAGATAAAAAGTGGCGAGGTAGAGATAACACGTACGTATTCTAATGATGGGCGACAGATGGAAGTTGTTAACCAATAAAATTCCAAGTTGGAAACCACAAATCCAATAATCGGGCATTTTCGAGAAAACCCATAAAATAAGAAAGTGACACTCTTTAAGTTCCAAGAACGAAAAAGACCCATTGAGCTACTCTTGCATTCTACAGGGACAAATCCGGATCTTACCAGCGCTCACTCGTTTCAGTAGGTGATGTACGAGAGGACAAAGGACTTACTATGATCATTGTTTGCAAGTACGTACTTTTGAATAACTTTCTGTTTTTCGCAAAAATAACTATTTAGACCCCATAAATTTCTACAATTAACATCTATAACAATTTCGCTCGTGATACCTTTTTACCCTATTTTTTTGTTCCATCACCAAATTATTCGTTCATCTTCCGTCGCAGATTTGAAGATTTTCTTTTACACAGAAAAAGCAAATGACGTGTGAATGCTTACCGACCAAAGTACCGGATCCATCTTGAAGATACGGTGTCGATTTATTGTTTCACGTGCGTACGCACGAAACGTTGCTTCCTGAAGCAGTTTAAAAGTCAACCTAGAGATTGCTCTCCTTATCGCCCAATGTTATGTCACGCTTCTCTTTTGCAATTATATGGTGACGTTTTTGAAGGCCGATTTCTACTTAACTTCGCCTATAATAGTAGGAATAACAGCAATAATAGTAATACACTTACAGTCACAGGATGGTGAGATATGAGATATGAACAGAACTCCGAGCTTCAAACGGGCTTCAAACCCGTGATTACCCACACGACAGACTCACGTGCAATCTATCACACCAAACGAGGCTCTCACTTTCCTTTCTCTCAGGCATTTTTACAACATGTTTATTTTATCTATTCAGAGGCGCGTGTGGCGCAGCGGTCGGAGACGCTCTGCAACCACACGTGGAACTGATCTCCGCGCCATAGCCCACCAGGCCCTCCATCCCTCCGGGGTCGGAAAATTGGTAGCAGACCGGTCTAGGAGGATAGCAGCATTGACTCGATACATCGGTAGGCCACCGCGAGTCATTGCAAAGGCCAGATATGCACTCAATCACCTCCAAACGATGCTTGATGAAGCCGAATGCATGGCGCATCCCTCAGGGATTGATCAAAGTCGAAAGCCTTATCCTTTCTTTAACTTAATTTATTTTGTTCATGCTCTCCTTCTTTTTCAGAGCCTCTATGACTTACGTTGAGTTAGCAAAGCACTGCATTTTTACGATGTGAGACTTGCGTGGGTCGAATACATTAATATTAAACACTGCACATGCGCTCAAGACGCCAAAACACGAAAAAGTTTTATAACAATCCCCTTCTTTCATATCAGTAGAGCGAAACATGTTTTTTAACGAGTTTAATTTATTAGGTTATGGGAAGCTTCTCAGTGGGTTAAAATTGTCGGAAACCTACTGACTTAACAGCAACAAGGATTAGCATCATCTATTGGTTTACCCTTCCGTATTATATATTACGCATTAAAAGCAGTCCGATTCCTGAATACAGCATGTTTTTCCTCTGCTTATCATAAGTTCAAAGGTGCACTTGTGCAGTTTTACAAAGTTCCTACTATATTCTCCACATTTATATATTTGCTCAGAAATCGTTAAGCAGAAAAGCTTACGTCATCAAAGGTATCGGCAAGTAGGTGGACCGCGAGTAGAAGACGTTGACCTTGGTTTTGGAACCTACGAATGGAAAAGTGATCATTGAAAAGAGCTGCAGTCTTTTCCTTAGCCAACTGGCAAAAATCCAAAGGCTTACTTTAAATCTATATATTTCTATACGTCTACACAATCTTGATTTACTTCGTTTTTTAAACTACTGTTCGTTAAAACGGAGGAATCACCATCAGTCGTAAACTTTCCGCTCATCCGTTGTTCGTGCCCAAAAAGTTTGGCATATCTATAAAGATTCCCAACTAAAATTATTCCAAGAATCGTCGCCATTGTGACTTTACGGTAGGGGACCTATCGCAAATCCACTCGACAACGACTGGTAACTGCTTGTAATGACAAACTTGGAATGATGAAACGGTGCAGGTTCATAGGGTGTTAAAGACGGAATATCTTAGGAGCGAAGTAATTGAATTTTTCAACTCAAAACCGCTACAGTTAATATCTGGCTCGTTTTCATGTACTGTGTTTTATTGTACTGCCCTAGGCTTCTTCCACTCGAATCGTTGTCCAAAACCGTCATTTGCAAAAGAGTTCAGATCGGTATATGGCTCGGAAGTTCTTGAAATCTCAACTTGTTAATCAATGTTGTTAAGTATTACTCGAACTAATTCTCCGTAGAATCGTTCGTTACCTGTGCTAGACCTTCACCATAGGCGTCGCTTTTATGGCTTGTAATCATCTTTCATACGCAACTTTGGTGATAATTTAACAATTTTCTGAACTTGGAAGAATACGTATCTCAATTAACCTCGTGCCGGTTCGAGTAAACAACCGTAAGCAGATTGCACAGTGCGTCACTAACCAACCGTGTTTTTACGTTTCAATGTCCAATAAATCAAATTTTTTCCTAGTTTTCCATTATGAAAAATGTCATTGAAGCTTTCGCCATTAGGATATCTCTTATCAGCTCTCATTTCAAAAATATTTTCCAAGTTTACTTAATGTCCAGTGTAATTCAGACATTCAAGGAAAACTAATGTCGCTCGGCCACCAGTTTCTAGCAATAGCTGACTTTTCATCAGATAGAGAGTTATTTAAAGGTGTTTATGCGTGATATAAAGTGCATAGCTAATAATATCTGATAACATGGAATCGCCTGACAAGCGATTTCGTTATCAACGGGTCAAAAGTCAGCCCAGATAGTTACTCGTCTCCTACCAGTCTATTAAAGTACAACTCTCACCTCTCACTTTTCTGAACGTCCTCGGCCGTAAAGTTTTCTGCCCCTTTGAAATAACGGCGAAGATCGGGGTAATTTGTGAAGAAGCTAAATGTAATCAAATACGAATCAATTAAACAGCAGCTGTGAAAAACTTGGGGTCCAAAAAATACTGTTTTATACGGGCTATTTCATAGCAAAGCAAAAATAGTTACATATGCTTAAAATATAGTGTGAAAAGACTAGCACATTAAACCTTTTCGAACCGAATCATTTATAAATGAGATAATGAAAAGCTAAAAAAGGGTGCTTACAATTTGTAGAAATCTTTTCCATTTTGGAGTTCTGCCGGTGATTTGCCGACTGGAACGGATTTAAGCGAAGCTCTCACGTGTTTCTTCACATCTGCTGGGGACAGCATTTTCTGTAAGAACCTTCGTAAACTCATTAAAAGCCGAATTCCAAGGCAGGAAAAACATTGAAACTAAGCAGTAAGAAAAGATAGTGATTCATTCTTATTAGAGTAAAGGAAAATTCAGGAAAGAGAGGACTTGATATGATAATAAGGGTTGAAGAACGATCTGCATCCTCTAAACTGTCGGATCGTAACCGACATCAGCTTCGTTTTGTACAGAACGGAATTTTTATGAAACATGAATATAGTTATAAATATAGCCAAAGCAAAAACTCCTTCATAAAAAACATCTGAGAGATATATAGTGCTTAGTGAACAATTTTTGGCTCGTTCTAAGCTTGTAAGGTAGTATAAAGTTGTGCGGAATGGAGTGCATTCCAATAAAGTGCTATACAGTCCACCTTCGGGTAAACGAGACGAGATCTCAAAACACTAAAGCGCAGGCACAAAGAAGTTCCAACAACAAGTTGTCCACTGACAATTATGCAAAACGAAAAATCGAGCATATGTCTCAGTTGCTACATTTGCCCCAGTTGATCGTCGGATGATATTATCAACAGTCGCGGTAAACTCTTTAATCGTAACTTTACGTTCGAGCGTAGGCGGAGAAAACTGTCTGAACCAACATTGGATTGCATAATCCCACCTATGGTGTAGGTGTAACACGAGGGTTGGAGGTGCCCGGCAATACACGCAATGCTTATTACTTGGGATAAATCAAATCACATAAATAAATATATCAACTATCTATGCCGAGGTTATAGAAAGTCGGTCTTTCGAGTTCTAGAACACTTGGTCGCCTAATCATAAGAATCCTTGTAATCTCAGAAGAATCTTAACTGTAAGCAATTCTTAATTCAAAATTGTCGATAAAACCACCAGTAATGAAGACCTTGGAGCGCGCGCTAATCCTTGTGCTCCAGGGAAAGCTACGCTGCACCGGTACTCAACACCTCAGTAAAAGTAGAAAACGACAGATTCTCAAAGCGCACCCAGATCACTCACGAATCCGACTACGCATTCGAAAGCCCGTCACAAGATGAACGGATAACGCTCTAGGCGTTGCTCAGTCCCTGAGAAATGCGCAATGTATTCGACTTCATCAGGCATTGTTATAGGTAACACGAATGTATATCTGGCCTTTACAATGACTCGTGCTGGCCTACCTATGAATCAGGCCAAAGCTGCTATCCTCCCACCAGACAAGTCTAGTTCTTATTTGCAAGCCTCAGATGGATGTAAGGCTTGGTAATTCTGGGACGAGCCATAGAAGCCATTTGTATTACAGGGCACTTCTAGCCAGTGCGCTATACGCGCCTTTATCACAAGATGACGAATAGAATGTAAGAAGCTTTGGGTGCCCACACATTATTTTAGTAACAGCAGTCAAGTTTTAAGATAAATAACTATACACCAATTATAAATGAGAATGGAGGAAATGATTCAAAGGTCCATACGGAACTGTTCACAGAACGGGGGTACGTAGAAGAGAGCACAAAAAATGGATTCCATCCATCCATTTTCTTTGTTATTTCCATTTGATTCGTGCTTGAAGCACTTTCCGAATGGCATTTCAACCCTTCAGCTAGAAGACTGACCACCTATTGAAAAATACTCATCTCCTATAAATACATTTATCTCACAAGACTTGATAAAAGCATTGTGATAATAAAGACGTGCCACTTATAGATACTCTAATAGTTCTGTTTTTCAGGGAAAGAAAAGTGTAAACGTTTTGGTAGTAATGAATGGCCGAGACATTTATCTGCCGGTGGGATAGCTTTTTATACCTGCAAAAGAAATGGACTGGAAGAATGTTGATGGCTGTTACACCGACATCATCAAGACCTATGATATTACCAGTTTTGCGACTGTTGCCATTTACTGACACAGTTTCATCATCATTCATAACAAACGAACCTGAAGAGGAAATTGTGTGTAAATAACTTCAATCAATCTTCACGTCATCAATCTTTATACGCTGCTCTTTCATCTATTGATGAACAGGAGTATTCTTTTAAGAGTTCTCTCACTACTACTATGGTGAAAATGGCGAAAAACGGATGACTTTCATTCGTAAGCAGAAATTGTGACATTGCTTCTTCTCCTTATTTTGGTGTGTGTGGTCTGACCTGAAAGGCTTCTATTACTTTGGAGCATATGGTCTGTTCCGAGTGCATTCTGCTTCGTAGCCATTGGATACATTGCTTCTTCTCCTCGCATTAGCTGAAAGAGTCAAGAACAGAGAGACTTAAATGGATCGAATTACTAAAACTGATTTTGATAAATTGATAACAAATGATAAGAATATTGACCGATGATGAACAAAGTTCAAGGCTGTAAAACTGCAATGATCATTCCTTGCAAGTTCCCATGGATCGTCCGTAACTCGTTTATTATCGAGTAGTTGAGAAGACACCTGCGAAATCTGTATTCGTTATTTTCAGAAACTATACTTGATCAGTGAGCTCCATTAGCCCAAGGAACGCGAAAGGCACGGCGACTTTTGGTACGAAGTACTTCTTCAAAATTATTCACGGCGAAGATATAAACATATTTATTTCCAACGATTACGCAAGTTGCTGAACAGCTCTGATCTTTGCTATATTACTTTTCCTACTCAGGAGATAATAAGAGGTATCACACCGGCTTTCGTCGTCAAATATGTTCAGTTGAATTTGGACAAACAACGGCAAACTTCTGCACTAAGTATGTGGCTTAAGTGGTGCATCAAAATGGTCAGACACAGATATCTCGTAGTTCGAACTTCAGAGGAGGAAATCTTATTTAACCAGAATGATATCACTACGATTGCAAAACAGTTCTTGAGCACGTCATCGTGAATATGGGTCATGGAAGTAGCAGAGTAAGTGTACTGTTCTATCTATGGTTTTATATGAGGCTTTTCCAAAATCTCCGTTAACGTTTTGACCTCTTCGCCTTCTTAAGAGTCGCAATGGTTCAGGTCAAGTGACCACAGGAACTGTGTTGTGTCAGGTGGGTTTTCTTAGGCTCATTGTGTCGAATCCAGTAAGGTGGAATGCTAGGCTTATGGAAAGTAAAGATTTGCTTCTACTTTCTTAGTACGTCACATGTGTTGTGAAAATACCGACTCTTCTTGTATTTGATTCGCTTCTTCGTACCCATATTTCTAAAGGTCGTAAAATTTTCATGTGAAGATCTTCCGCTGATTGAGGATTTTTGACATTTCTCCATGTCGTCGAATTCTGGTTAAGTCAATTCTCTCTGGACTCCCGAGATAGCCGTGCTAGGTCATTTTCACATCATCACCTATAGCCAATCAGCAACCTTTTTGAATCGGAGGCAGCTTCGTAGACAGATATGCTACTAATTTCACAATCCCAGACTGACGAGAGGCTTTGTCAACTCGATGCAGGCCGATACAGTGCTCCACACACTTTGAAAGCAATACTACCACTGTTCTACGAGGGTAGAGGACACCATAGAAAAGTAAATGAAGAAGGCAACGTGTTGCTATTGCCAAAGTTATCTGATAATGGAAGCACGTCGTCGATTGATAGCAAAAGTGTTTGCTTCATATCTGAATTTGTTAAGTTAAACTTGAACAGATATTGATTCTGGTAGCTTGGTTGTTTGCAAAGCAATCATTTGCATTTGCAACTGGTCCTAAGCTCGGTGCTTTCTAACTTTCATGCTTCGATTCTTGACAGCTCTTACTACTCGCATTGCAAAAGTAAGCCATCAAAATCCGATAGTCATGCCTTGCTATGGTGTAAATAGGGCGAGATAACGTAAAATTTTCAGGTGCATTCTTCACCACGACACGCTTTGAACTACTCGACTTCACGTGGTTACTGTGATTTTAATGTTGGATTGCCTCTCGGCACACCTGTTGTGAATCAAACGTTGGAAATTTCGATTCCTAAAGACAAGATGCTGGTTAGAAATAGCTCATTACGTAGTGTCTAGCACTGCAATTTATCTCAATTTTAAGGCATGTGTCGCGCAGTGGTCACAGGTGCACTTCAGTACGCACGCGGTCACTGGTCCAATCTGCCATTCTTTATACTTTGTCCACCATGGTTTGCCTGTTTGTCAAGGAATGACCATGTATCCGGGTACCGCCAAGTCGCCCAACCCGAGAACGAACTCGACAATTCCAAGTTGTAGTGCAGCTATGAACAAAGCCGTTCCAGAAATCAATGCTGTTCTGACAACAATATAGCCAGTAGTTGACAAGTCTTGATGATCAGGAAAACTCCAGCACAGATTTCGCGTTTTGCTTTTCTACGGAAAAATCGCGCTTAGTCTGTAAATCACCAGTTAAATGGAAAGTGTAATAATCATGATCGCTCAGCTTGTCATAATTCGGAACGCAGAACATTGAAATATTCAACTATTTTTTTGCATAAAATTTACTACCACGGTAGGCAGCAAGTAACTCTGAGCTACAAATACCAGATCTCATAAAGTCTTCATCGTTTTCTAAAAGAAACATCCTAAACCAGTGGAAAATGCTATAAACAACTTTTATGAATTGAAAATCATTAATGCTGTGGACCAATGCCAGAATCCACCACCGTCCTGGTATCAAACTAGTCGCATGGTGGTAAATCTCACTCTGTTCCACAAGGGCGGCGATTGCCTGTAGTGGTGACGACATGAGGCAGACTTTGTCCAGGCGGTCCTGGAGGGTCCAGGGAGCCTCAGTGACTAAACCAGCAAAACTGCAAAAAATGAAGATTATGGTAGGGCTCGCACAACCACTGGAGTCCAAGTATCCAAGTAAGTAAAACTGTGGGCAAATACCGATTAGCCCTAATGTACACATAATTTTTCGCAAACTTTGCAACTGTATTAATGACAGTATGTGGAGAAAGTGACCCTAATGCATTACAAGATCAATAAACCGACTATTTCAATTGGTATCAACTTACTGTTGCCTTAAGAATCGTAGCAGTAACTACGGTAAAAGGCGATATCCACGAATCAATTAGAATTTGAACCTCTTGGAAAACCACAATACTACTTGGTGATAATTTCAGGCTACGTACATTTGGATTGATGGCACTGGCGAAAACCTGCGAGATAAAACACGAACGTTCCACAGTGATCCAGGCAATATCGAAAGTAATCTTTTTACATTTAACACACGGAAAACAGCATGTGCCTATTCCAATGCACTCCGCGAATAGCGAAAAAATTAGCGTGGTCCCAACCACTAGATATAGTCGCCTATGTGGCGAACGCTGTCTTCTGTATTAAAAAGAGATTCACATAAAAACGTTCCAGATTATCCATATTGGGGCTTTGATGGCTCATCAACCTATCAAGCAGACAAAGGAGAGGATTCAGATATGATTTTGAAGGTCAGCTGAACGATTTCTTTCTAGGCTCCAAAAAATAACGGAAAAGAGAAAGCAAAACAAAAACATTTAGCCAGTCGCTCTGTACGCTGATCCATTCTTTGGTGGACCACACAAGCTCGTACTCTGTGAAGTACTTGATGCAAATTCAAAACCGTCAAGTACGACTTCATTTGTTGAGATTGTATGAATATGGACATCATCGTTGTCCAAACGGCTATTATAAGACTATTTAGAAACAAATCATCGTCATGCATGCAAAGGGGCTATGGATAAAATCCTTGACAAAAAGCCATTATTTGGTATGGAGCAAGAGTATCTGTTGCTCACTCGTGACGGTTATCCATTAGGATGGCCGAAATACGGATATCCAGCCCCTCAAGGTATCCTGCAGCAGTTTCTGAGCTTAATTGAAAAGACTAATCAGTGGAAATTACCAATGAGCAGCACTTTTGCACATATATCAATGAAAACTGTAGCTATCGATCTGCTAAATGGATATACATGCTTATGATAGCGCCGTATTTCTTATCACGCGATAACAGACACCTACTTAAGTAGTTATGGCAGAAGATCCGTTACAGTTGTTTTACAGCCGATGTTGATTCTAGAAAAGGTATAATGTAGAGGAAAACTTTGCTCTCATTCGTTTAATTTTAGGTCCGTATTACTGTAGCATTGGTGCAGATAGAGCTTTTGGTCGCGAGGTTGTGAACACTCATTATCGTGCAGCCCTTCATGCCGGCTTAACTCTATTTGGAATCAACTGTGGTACGAACTCGTCTAAATGCTTTGTGGTTAACAATACTCCTCGCAGTGGGAAGAGCACTGAAATTTTGCGAAGTACTCTTTCTTTGTTGATTGAGGCTCGAGGCACACTTTTTTGTGAAACGAGAAATCACTACACTACTTTTCACCTTCTGCCGGCAAACACCACCCACGTTCCGATTTCTCCCCAATGGCGACTTCTTCGAGTACTAATTCCTGATCCATAGGTAGCTTCCAAACATTGTGTGTAGTAGCCGACTGGTTGACGTGACCTCGAAACACTGAGGTCCTTTTCATCAGATGAGTGACCTATATATGGATCTTTCATTAGCTTTAGTTATTTTTTCGCTATATGTTTGTTGAAGGTTTGAGCTGGTTGAGTTCAGCATCTCACATGTACCACTTTGAGTGTTATTGGATAGTCCAAAACTTTAGCGAAATTCTTTCAATTCGTTTCTGTGCAGAAATTAGACGCAATGGTATTCAGCGACCTCAAGTGTTGCTGGTCTACCATGAACGCTTTCTTGCGCCGAAATGACAAGTACATCTCGTTTCGCAACCTCCTGGTCATCATCACCATTACTGACCTTCAACTCAATACCGTGGGAACCATGAGTAGTCTTCCTCATCTAAAAGAAACTTAGACATTGTTGACTATCTTTGCGCCTTCAGTCACACTCCTAGCATGAGAATATTGCTGTTCGAGTATCGATCAACAAGTCGGTGCCGCTGCGACTTCTAACAGTTTCTGAAAAGCTGATGAAAGCAGCAATAAATGTTCCATTTCGACCATACCAACACGCATTACGTTTGTCAAGCGTTATGAATACACGGCTTCTGACCCAGCTAATACGGAGCTCACAATATCCTATGTGCTCACAAGACTGGCAGAATACATTGTCCTAGAAACTGTTCTCGACTGACAAGCGAATCAATGCCCTCAACTGTGAATCAGTTTGTTCGGATGATGCGGCAGAAAAACCGCGGAGATGATCACGAAGTCCTCTACTTCATGGTAACGCTAAAACACACGCGGCCCACCAGCATTTGAAAGCACCTGGTCGAGAATGCTTTTGTGTTCTACACACAACTTAAGTCTCGTGTCGCAACACTACTGACTGCTAACTACTGACTTCAGGACAACTGTTTCGCTGCAAGTACTTTCCCAAATTGGTCGGCTAAAAACAGAGGCTGGACCAGCTCTTTCGAGTTGATGCAGCTACATCTTTTGAAGAAAAACCTCGAAAGATTTTCTTAGCGCTGTATTGACGATACAGTGATCGAAATAAGGGTCGAAGAACTTGCTTGGAAGGCTTAAACTCTAAAGAAGATACTCTCAATGTGCTTGTTGAGCAATTGAGAACTATTTGATCAATGCCGAGGTTAATAGGAATTCGCTCCTGGTAATTACTACAGGACGTGCCAGTAAAGAAACTGTTTGGATTTTTCGCTAAGCCTACTGAGTATTCTGGTTATCACGATCTTGGTCTTCATTAGAGAAATGGGGTGAAATTCGAAATCGTTTAGAAAAAGAGAACGCAAAGAGAACTGCGTCACAACTTGAAACTTGTTTTGGTACAGATTTAGAAGCACTCCCCACGCCGTAAAATAGACTATTGTTTTCGTCTGTATCTATGACGATATTCGTAACCAAAAATTTGTTAGTCTATCACGAGTCAGCCTCACCGCCAACGACTTAGAAACACGCATCCAACGTCTGGGGTGAAAAGGATGGCTTCCTGTTGATCGAATGTAAGATAGTAAAGTACCGAGGCAGACATTGCAAACCGTTATTTGCTCAACTTTCATATTAGAGAGTGGGTAGACCCAGCAATGCAACGGTAATAATGTGGAAAATGTTTTTTTGTGGGGACTCTAAAATTCATGCAAAATTTCCAACTTACATGACTTCGGCCAAGTCGGATGAACAAGGTAGAATTCGCTTGCGATGATCGTATAATGAAATGAGTATGACTGCATCGTATTCGAAGGATTCAAGTTCTTCGAGTGCAGTTGAAGGATAGTCAAGAAGCTAGCAATGTTATTAACGAATTCGGACTGAATCCACTAGCGAGCCTATGGCTACCAATTTGTGAGAGGTGAAATACTTCTATTTAGACTTTTTTCAAGCCCACATAGAAGAAACTTCTATAATGTTGCCCTTTGATAATGAGGTTAAGGAAGGATGGCTTAGAAAATAAGAAACGGCGCTACTACACATCTTTTCAGGCTCAGATAAGAAACAAACCACTTGGGGAAGCAAACGGCTGCCTAGGAGCTATACCTAACATTCAGTGTAGTGCTGCAGTACATGAAGACCAAAAATATAATGCTTATGTTCTAAAGAGAAATTTTTTTGAGAGGTCACTCCTGGCCAATGGGAGTTCCAACTTGGTCAGTGTGAAGGACTTGACATGGGTGATCAACTTTGGATGGCTCGTTATCTTCTTCACAGAGTCGCAGAGCAATTTGGTGTCGCCGTAACCTTCCATCCAAAACCACGGGTAAATGAATGTATCTATTCTGGTATCTTTGGTAATGATCGCTTCATGAACACGCCGTTGTAGTCTGCAATAAAGCTTACGAGTTTCAATAATCGATTGTTGTCTTCACTTTACTCAAATAATCAATCTCCCTAGAGCGTTTTTCCACATCCCACCTTCACGATGATGTAGCGAATGATCGAGCGCGAACAAAATTTTCTATTGCATGGTGTCAAACTATTCGTAAATTCTTTTTGCATTTACTCGTACCGCAGGTGACGATGGGAGATTGGAATGGTGCTGGATGCCATTGTAATTTCTCTACAGAGGAGATGCGAGCCGAAGGAGGAATCAAGGCAATTGAGGCTGTGAGTCAAACATGATTTATTTTGCTTATTTTCTTCTCATAGTTAGGATATGTATCCTTTGTGTGTGTGTGTGTGTGTGTGTGTGTGTGTGTCTGAAAGAATTTCAACCTTACATTTGCGTTGAAGTGAATAATTTTTTCGATGGCAACGCCATTAAAGTTTGTAGAATTCTCTTATAAAGTGAGCATAGTCGTTAAGCGAGACTATGGTTCAAGATTTTCTCACATGTTGTTGATTAGGATGACGATAAAGATGTTCTTAAGGCCATGAAGAAGCTTGAAGCAACGCACAAAGAAGCAATTCGTGTGTATGATCCTCATGACGGCGAAGATAACAAACTGAGGTTTTTTTTCCTAGAAAAGTCGATGAGAATTGTTATCGAGCTTTCAGGGTGAAAAAGCGATGTCTTCTCACAAGGGATTTTTTTTACATTTTACGTTCCCGACATCACATCTTGTGTTAATCTGAGAGATTCTTTCATTCAATTCGTTTCTTCGATTTCAATACCCCGGTCTTCTGCTTTATGCTCGGTTTTGGCTGATGCTTGAATTTTTTCTGTCCCCTTTAAGAATGCCGTTTAATACTGGTTCAGCAAAATGTGCCCCGAATCCTGACATAGCGATGTTAGCGTCCACTGCGCATTCGAAGGAGCTTCCAGGAGGAGTCTGATGCTCATTCTTCAATCTCGGAGTGGTGACAGGCTTGTTTGGTCGGATGCGGCTACGAGCCAAAGCCTTGCTGAATTAAACGGCATCACAACCTCTACACTTTCCAAGCTCAATAGCTAGAATGGTTATTAAGGCCGCATTAAAAGGATTGAGGATAAAGCTCTCGGCGTTGACCAATTCCTGAGAGATGCGCCATGCATTCGACTTCACTAACTATCGTTGGAGGTGATTGAATGCATATCTGGTCTTTACAATGACTCACGGTGGACTACCGATGCATCGAGCCAGTGCTGCTATCCTTGAAGACAAGTCTGGTACCAATTTGCCAACCCCGGCGGGATGGAAGGCTTGGTGGGCCATGGGCGCGGGGATCGATTCCACGTTTGTGTCGCATTGGCGCCTCCAACCACTGAGCCACACGCGCCCGCTAAAGCCGCATTATCTTGTTTATTTAGAAAGAACACTAGCATATCGAATATTACTAGGGTGGCTCCTTCTATGTATATTCTAGAGCTTTGGTCTCTAAATCGGGAGCTCTTCCTCATCTATACGAACACCTTTCAGTGTAGAAGCAAAGTACGCTTTTCCATGTTAGATGTGGTCTTCTTAACTAAACTGCAAGTCTGTTAACTGCATCTATCCAATTGTCGTGATCCTATTTTTTACCCACAACTCACTTTAATCGGTTTGCTTTGGTTTTAGTCACAAGGTCTCCTGAAATTTATGATTTGATTCTTTGTCATCAGTTGTCGTAGCATCTGACGTTATTAGGTGTATGCAAAACTGAAAATTTGTCGAATGGTTTATAGTCTATTAGCTTTGGTCGTTTCATAGTAACCACGCCTCTAATGCATTAGTAAGGTAATTGGGCCATTCAAGTGCAATGGCTAGAGATGCCGTGCAATACACTAAGGGTCGGTGGTTCGACCACTGACTGGGCCAAACATCTCTCTCATACTCCCGTCATCGGCAAATTCGCAGCAGACCTCAAAGACAGCGATGCAGCCTCGTATTTTTCTGCTGGAAAAGACAATAATTATAACAAAAAACCCTCCTACGTAGTCATTTTACATGTAACGATCACTCATAACTGATTTTGTCTGTACTGCTTGCTTTTCAGTTGTCTAACTATGTTGCATAATCCCTATGGTGCTTCCATGGCTTTCCTCTCCAAAGCCTTTCAACCTTAATCTTAATAGCTGTTTGACCCTTCATTGCAAAGCTTTTGAACCACGTCTACAATAACGAAACTTTAATTCCCATGTCTATTATTGTCGTTGCCACTTTTATTTTTACTACCGTTATCATTACTCAGAAGTTTATATTAATGCACACATATTTCATCAAAAAGGGCATGCAAGAAGTGGTGAACTAAAAGAAAACTACAAGATTGCTGAGATATTTGCAAAACTCGGGACTGCAGGTGTCTGCGGGGGGGAACGAACGCGTTCCGGAGAGTAACACGTTGACGGCTGATTGCTGACGGCACTGATCGATAGAACTAGCCGAGAGACAGGCGAAACGAAGCACCCGCATGGTGTGGTGGTGAACGCTTTACTCCCCGGAAAGGAAAATAGCGCGTTCGTTCCCCACCGCAAACACTTGCGGTCCGGAGTTTTGCAAATATCTCAGCAATCTTGTGGTTGTATTTCGCTTAATACCCTGCCATAAAAATTATGGAAGGCAGAAAATAAAAAGTAAACATTGTGAAAGAACACTATTCAGTAGTTTTTTAGACTCACTGGTAAGCATGAGACGAGTTCAGCTGAAACCTTCTCGTGGGGTGTAGCGAATCGGGCCGCATCAGTGCGTATTCCAAGAGGTGTAGCTCTTGCAAAAAAGGTATGCAGTTTATTCATAGGGCTTCCATTTATTTCCATCAAAACTAAAAAGCAATTTTCAGGGTTACCTGGAAGATCGTCGTCCTTCATCCAATTGTGATCCTTATCAAGTAACACGGATGATTGTAGAAAGTATTCTACTCCGATAATAAAACATTTGATTCCAAACAAATATTTCGTATAAGACCTCCGCCAGCTACACGGTCACTGGCCGATCGAGCGACTAACTTCCTAGCAAGCCTTTAACTAAAAGATATAAAAATAAAAGAGTTAATATCAAAAAAGATGGACCTCCACAGCTTCTCCAAAGAACTGGACCCTTTGAGATACACAATAAGGAAAAAATCTCCAGTATCAGCTGTCGTCCCGTTGGTCGTAGAGTGACTCGAGAAGGCGTCAGTAAATATTCCAATTTTCCCTGTCAAATGCAGGAGTAGCCTAGCAGATGTGCTTCTGAGTTCTGAGATAGGGAAAAATTGGAGAGTTTAATGCTGCCGATCTGAATAACTCTATAATTGGCAGGAACTTAGGTGGGTACCAGGTAATCAAGTAAGCATTGTTGTTGGGGGAACATGAGATATGGATCACCTTCGTATTCCAAAGGCTACGATGGGAGTGCTATCGAGGCTAGAAAATGCAGTATTTGAGAATAGAGTCAGTTTCTGCAGCACCTAAAAGAATTATTATTTAGGTTGGGTGTTTCAGCTTCCTTTATTGAGTCATTGGTAACACGACTTTTCATGTTTAGAATGTTCTGCACTATTTATTCCATATTTCACTGTTTCAAGACATATCAGTATCACCTATATCATCTGTAGCCCCGTTGATCGTCCAGTGACTCGAGCGAGCGCCAGTAAATCTTCCATTTTTCCCTGTCGCATGCAAGAGTAGCCCATTGGGTTCTGCTCGCTCTAGGGACTCGTCGAGCATCATATCTTTCTCCAAGGCTCTTTGTGAAGAACTCTGACCATGGAGTCAATGGTCTTCCTACAGTAGATTTGACCTCCCGAGAAATCCACTTTCTAACGGCTCTTGTGCATCGGTTGTCATCCATACCCATTACGTGTCCAGCTCACCTTATCTTCGACTATTTGGCGTACAGAACAGCATCTTTGATTTTTTATCGTTGACGCAGATCGGAGCTTCGGTTCCCATCCCTTCCTTGTATGGAACGAGAAACTCCTAGCATCGTCCTTTCGACTGCGCGTTCGATAACGCTGAGTGACCTTTCATCCTGCTTACGCACCGACCAGGTTTCTGACGCATACGTTAGGGCAGGAAGTACCGTTGAGTCGAAAAGGTGGGCACAGAGTCGGGAGTTCTTTGTTCTCTTCACTACATCCTCGATGCTCCTGAAAGCTCCCCAAGCTGCTCGTTCCTTCGGCTCAGCTCTGGAGCTAGGTCGTTCATCATATTGATTTCCCGACTTAGATAGATATAACTGAAGCATTCGGAGATATTCGTTCCTTTGGATTCTCAACATCATGCCACTTTTTCCGTTGCGTTTTCTTTCTTTCTTTCTTTCTTTCGTTCTTTCTTTCTATGGTTCTTTCTTTCTATCGTTCTTTTCTCCTCTCTTTCTTTCTCTCTCTTATTCTTTCTTTCTTTCTTTCCCTTGTTCTTTCTTTCTCTCGTTCCTCCCTCCTCGCCTGCTTTCTCTCGTTATTTCCTTCTCTCTTTCTTTCTCTCGCTTTTTCTTTCTTTCTTTCTTTCTTCCTTCCCTCCTTCTTCTATTCTTCTTCTTCTTCTTTTTCTCTTCTTCTTCTTTTTTTCTTTTTCTTCTTCTCCTACTTCTTCTTTTTCTTCTTCTTCTTCTTCGAGGACAAGCTCGGAACACAATCTATTGGCACGTTATCGTCAATGGCATTAAAAGTGTTAGAGAACCTGGTATGACGTCATAAAAAATAAAACTAAAAGGAGTGAAAGAATTTCAGTAGTGCGGCATTTCAGTTAGCAATGACAAGAAACGATCGTGTCCTGACCTAAGTGGCAGTGTGATTTTTACGTTGTACCATGAAAATCCCACGGATACAAATCGTTTTGTTGGCGGTTTAATTACTTTAGCCTTCACTGCACCTGCCCACTCTCCGCAATAACCAGACTGCTTTATCACTCGTCAATAGCATTCTATTTCAATACTCATTTCAAGCTTATTGGGTTTATTCTAGTAATCTCGTCTCTAATTCACTGCGTCTGATGGCTACTGTATAGAAATCCGCATAAGTAGTCGACTACTATTGAAAGTTAAAGCAGAGTAAGATAGTAATGAAAATTTGTTCTGTATCACATGCAAGCTTGTTATGCCCAGAAAGAATCAAACTGGTATTAGTGAAATCTTTACTCGATGATATACTACTCGCAAGACCTGCCCAATGGGCCCCGCCCTATGTGTAGTTATCGTTCGGTTCCGTGTCATAGTGTTGAATTCAATCTCAGTTTAGGTGATTCTGTCGGGGGGGGGGGGGGGGGGGGGGATGAACGTTTTTCTCAACATTTGTTGTTCCGTATCGAGTAATAACGAACAGGCAATAAACCATTATGGAGGAACAAAAACGGTTAATCCATAATTATCGGTTAAAAAAAAGAAAAATTAGATACTTCGCCCTTCTCCACTTTTTTGTTAGCGTTATATTCCTAGCCTATTTATTTGCTTATTCATACGACTTCGCTTCATTTATCGCACTACTTTACTTTATCTGAGTGGATACTTTACACCCGCCTTTTATTGATTCAGTTATATTCAATTCTGGGTTCGGCTGTAAGTTAGGGACTTCACCTCTTCGTGAACGTCACTCAATGCCTATCAGCATTGTTCACTCTGGAATTCCTGGTCTAGCTCTACCAGAATCTACCAGAACGTTCTGAGGTTTTCTGCAGTAGAATTTACTTACAACCTTTCTGAGCCAGAGAAATTTCGTTTTAAGGAAAGACTGTTCCCGCTTTGTCAACTCCTCAAGAGGAATAGTACTTAGTTAGCCCAGTGCGCCGGCTCGAGTCAACGACTGTGAGTCTATTGCAAAGATTCCTTAAGAATTGGGAAAAAGTAATACAAAGATTCACAGTAACATTTAAACGTGCCATCTGCTGTGCCTGGTCATATTCACGATTTTTTTTGTGCGTTCAATCCTTGCAAAGAAAAACTTCCGAATTGGTGGTAAGTGGTAACAGGCGCCTGATACTGCGAGTGAACCTTAGGAAATGATTAGAACGTGTCTTTTCAACGATAACGGTGGTGAACATGTGAGGATACTACTCTCCACATAAGAAGGACTCAGTAGTACTCTAGACTCTTCATTTAAATCCCGTAAAATATGTGGGCAACTATTGCTCTAGAATGAATAAAAGATTTCCGTATTGTAAAGCCGAGGTAAAGTAAAAGGTCATTCTCTAATTTTCGTGGAGAGGCAGGGAGAGTTCGTTTGGTCTCTGTGAGCTGAGTTCCAATCCATTCCGACTACAAAACGTTCGTAAACTTGTTAGCATAAAAGTGTCGTAAGCATAATCAGAGTTAGTCGAAAGTTAATCGTTTGTTTGGGATTGCATGATTTTCTGGCGTTATCAATCTTTTCAATTTTTTCTCCGTGTAATTTTGTATTGCAACTCTCCATTAAACACGTGTACTTTCCTTCGAATCTAACCAGCAGGAACTAGTAGTTAGAACGTCTGAGTTCTCTCGAAGGCGCTAAGCCTACCCAAGATTAGTGTTATCCGTATTTCTTTCCCAATAATGAAAGCAATGCATTAACTAGAAATCGAACCCTCTGGTTATTTCTTAACCGGAATTAAATGAAGTCGTTCATTCGGATTTTTTAACTACGGAACTTGAGACGGTGCAAAATTCGGTTCTTTTTTAATGACCGGCTGGTCTCGACTACTATCCCTCCATCAATAGGCAGATGGCGATATTAGTACGTGGTAGACGTTTACTTTCACTCATCATCTGATAGCACTTCGTAGTACTTTTGCGGCGAGCAGGCTCGAAAAAACAAAGCAGAATAATTGAAGTGCTCGGTCTTAAATAAGCAGATAGCTGCTCCTGATATATATTCAGAAGGTAAGCTGCATTGTTCTATAATGAACTCCAGCCCCAGTAATTAATTTCTTCAAAGGCTTCTCCGCCTGCGGTCGCAGACGCAGTGCCTGGTTTGTTGACTGGCTCGGCTTTCATACGTCGTTCGATGGTGTGCTGCGTTATTCCATGGTAACCGTGGACGTCTAGACACTCCTCGGTAGAATAGTCGTAACAGCCGAGTGCCGTTGAATAGCAATACTTTATATGCGTCATAAATCCAAGGAGAATATAACAAGTTTACTTCCCAGTATTGCTCTTTGCTTAAGGTGTGCAGCATAAAGCGTTCAGCGTTGAGCATTTTCCTTGGGATGCAAATATATTCGACTTCATCAAGCATCATCATCGTTCGAAGTGGCTGACTGCGTATTTAGACTATAAAAATAACCTGTGGTGCCCAATTGATGCAGTGGTCAGCGCTGGTAACATCTCAGAGACGTGTAGTACCAACTACCAGCCAAGCCCTAAGGGATGGTAGGCTTGATAAGCCTAGGAAGCCGCGATATCGAATGAACGGCCACGTATGCATTGATTGACATTTCTAATCACTGTGTTCTGCTTAGATTTCATTAAAATATTACTCGGGTTTGTTATTTATATTAATAGATAGAAAGCATTCAAAATTCATATGATGCAGTATACGTCATCTGTAATTTTGCTAACGATCAAGCGGCACCAGCAGGCAGTTTTCATTCGTCTCCATCGCGTGCCAGAGCTGAAGTAGGTAAAATCCATCCGAAGAGCAACAACAGCATCAATTTCAACAAAAGCCGTTTATTATTTTTATGACGGGACGAGTTTTATCTTAAAGAAGCGATCCAGTTGGTGCCGTGTACTGGTGATCATACTCACGGATAGCTTTTCAGGGTTTTTCTTATTATACAACATGGAGTCTCACGCTATTAAAAATTCCTCGGACAGCCGTCTACGTATTTTTAAGCTATTCTTTATATAGAAAAAGTCCTACGACCCGTCAGATTGGCGGCGAACGAATAAGAGCCACATTAGATACCTGATAGTTCCAAAGTTTTTCGAAGAGAATTCGTGATATTTCTAAGCTACGTTGCCATAAGGAGACCGCAACTACTGTTGAATTCTATAAAAATTGCCACGACCGACTTTCTATTAACCTCGGCATTGATCAAGTGATTTTCTTCGTATTTTTGTTGAGCAAACGCGAGGTGTTACTATTCTTTGTTCACGATTAAGCTGACGTTTCGGCGGATTTCGCCTTCTTCAGAGCCGCTTTCTATAAGGTTTCCACTAAGTATGTCACGTAGAGACCAACCGCACAGAAATCACGTGGAAGTATAATGATACTTATACTATATTACTTCCACGTGATTTCTGTGCGGTTGGTCTCTACGTGACATACTTAGTGGAAACCTTATAGAAAGCGGCTCTGAAGAAGGCGAAACCCGCCGAAACGTCAGCTTAATCGTGAACAAAGAATAGTAACACCTCGCGTTTGCTCAACAAAAATACGAAGAAAGTCTATAAAAATTGGTAATTGCACCGGTTTCTTTTAGAGCCAAATGAGACTTCGCCTTACTAACTTAATAGTTTCCGATTAAAGTTCAATGATCTACATTCATAGTATTTCATATGCTAACGAGTATGTCTAGTCGGAGACATTTCAAATTGCCCTCACTAACGTCAAAGATCTCTCGACCACACAACACTTACTTGAAAGGCTCAAGTTTGTCAAACAAATTCGCTAAAGTTAGTAAAACATCTTGATAATTTTTCTTGACTTACATCATAATTCGACGATCATTCTTCATACGTCAGCCTAGCCCAATAATTCTTCCAGTTGTTTCGATATCCTACAGCGTGATCCAGCGATCCGGTCGGGTTCGGGTGTGGATTCGGTTGTAACTTGAGAAACTGTAAACTTTTCTACAAACTAACGTGCTAAATACTGTGTTAATAAAATTTTTTTTAAATATCGGAGACAGCCGTATCAGGGTATTTCTTGTCTTCACTAATGAACCTTATCGGATTTTCTCGTTTGGAGGAAAATTTGCTACCTTTTTATACGATTTCTTGTAGTGCCCTACTGAATCCTTCATTTAGTTGACGGAAGGATGACGTTGATCTAAAAATCCGATTTCTCTTTTTTTTTGTAAACATACAATAATTTTAAAACTAACGGTTATTTGTTCGACTTTTCGGACATGCGATATGTTCTTGAATAAGTTTGCCTTATGAAGCACTGTTCAAATTTCTCTGGTTTTTCTCTGGCTCTCTGGTTACACTAATTCCACCAAACAGTAGCCAAACCAACCCATGTTCGCGTGCTCTACAAACATAGGCTAGCTTATCGATAGTTATGCCTACTAAGAAAAGATACCAGCCTTTGCAAAAGCAGAATATTTCGGTCGAATCATTTCTGGCGGAGTACATATTTTTAAGACAGCGAGGAGTTCTTTAGGTCATCAAGGACTTTACATGTTACAACGACTGACCTTCCCTACAAGTTTACTTTCCTGGTATCAACCTGATCCAGTTACCTCATTGGATAATGATGCTCGATCTGAACGAAATATGAATACATATACTGGTTGTTTAAGTACTCCAGCAAAAGCTGCATTACAAAGGGAGTGTGTTGAGCTGCGGTTAGAGGTGTTCTACAAAACACATGGGTTCGATCACACACCGCTTCAAGATCAACAACACTTCCATCCCTCCGAAGTCGGAACATTGTTGTCAGACCTCTTTGGGAGATAGAAGCACCGACTCGATACATCGTTAGGACACCGAGAGTGTACAAGCCAGATGTGCATCCAATCACTTCCGATGGTGCTTGATGAAGACGGAGCATACTTGTAAGATTGATCAAAGTCGAGTGTTCTATTTACTTACCAATTATTATATTTCACTGCATAACCAAGTTTTTAGTGGTATTTTTAATAAGTCGTAAAGGCTTTTAAGTCCTAAAATTGCTTTGAAAGCATTCGAAAACTAATCATAATTGTTATTGAGCGCTTATCGCACAAGCTTCTCAGAACATTTCATGGACGCTTAACTTCTCGTGTACGGTGTGCAATTTAGTTAATTTAGCTTAACTAAGTCAATTCCTAAGTGGGAACTAAGCAGTTTAGCAAATTCAATTTGTCTGAGCTGATTTCTGATTAAACTTAGCGAATTTCAAATAATTTAATTTTATTCCAAGTTAACTGGCCCGCAATCGCTTCAGATATCTCTAAACATCAATCCTCTCACTGGACATTCACTATTCTCCATAAGTCATTCTACAAACCTAATCTAGGCATCATAAATTTAACAGAAGGTTGTTGACTCTCCTTTGAACGATCTACAGGTGGTCAGGAGTTCAATGAAGTGAAATGCGAAGTAATTATAATCGAATACTAAGCACCTTCCTATAAATGTGTTAATATGAAATACAAACTATCTATATATTATCTGCATAATAAAATATACATATGTTGTTCCTTTAAACACTGTAAAATCAATTCTACACTTACTCGCAGGCAATGGAGCCTTGTTCTATGTGAGGAGTTCTTTTTTAATTGTCCAAGGTTCTCTATGGTGGGGAACGAACGTGCTATTGTCCTTTCCGGGGAGTAACGCGTTCACCACCACACCATGGGTTCTATGCCGATTTGCGCTCCCCAGATCAAGCCCGCCGACGGGTGATTGCTGTGGCAAAAAGATCAATAGAAATAGCTGAGAGACAGGCGAAACGAAGGACCCGCATGGTGCGGTGGTGAACGCGTTACTCCCCGGAAAGGACAATAGCGCGTTCGTTCCCCACCATAGACACCTGCGGTCCAGAGTTTTGCAAATATCTCAGCAACGGTGTGGTTGAATTGCGCTTAGTAACCTGCTATGAAAATTATTCAAGGCAGAAAACAAAACGTTAAACATTGTTCAACATTCATTAATCCTCCTAGATTCTTGGCCTTGAGCTTGAAGATCGAAAATGTCAAAAAGATAATTTGCAGAACTTTTAACGAATTAAGTGGCAGTACGGGAGAACCCTCTCTAAAAAGCAAGCCACCTTGGAAGGAGTTCACTAATTGTCAGTTGAAGGTAGAGTCGCGTGTCATCCATTGTAGACGTTGGCTTATTTTATTTCTTCTCATTTTCTGCTTTACTTGGCAATGGTGAAGTTTTTAAACGGATTCGCGAGTGTGAAAAGAACCTAGTTCTGCAAATCAGCATTCAATCATCTTCCTTATTCTCGTTCTCATTCTCGCCCTGATCCCCAACCCCGTCTTCATTCTCGTTCTAGTCATCATCTTCGCTCATAACTTTTGCTTTTCAACTAAGTATAAATACCTTCTTTAAGAAAAATGGATACAGGATAGCACTATGCTTACTAAGAACTGTATTTGATGACGGTAATTAGAAATATGTTTGACGTATTTTGTTTTAGGTATTCGCGACCACATCATCATTACTAGTTAGCCATGGACGTGTCGCAATCTATGGAACCTCCAAATAGAGAAGTAGGAGGACGTCTTCGGGAAAACATGAAACTTTACGATATGGTTGACTTGCATGGCGGCGGTGAGATGATGACCATGATGAGGTAATGGAGAAGTTAGCAGAAGTTAAAAACTAAGGTTTTTTGATTGCAATAGATGCCTTTAAGCAATGCTTAAACCTTATAAACACTACCATGCTAGACAACGACTGCTTGATTTCTCTTCGTTGACAGCAATTAAAAACATTACAGCCATCATTGGATAGATTAATACAAAGGTCCCCTGATATGGTTGATCTCAAAGCGGCTAATCGCCTGTCGCATGTTGCTGGGTTTCCAAGCGATGAATAGCAGGTTAAAAGCATGCCAAAATCAATGGTGTATTTAAGTTTGACGTTCAAGTCGATACAGTAGACAGTTATCACCTTGTCTTTTCTACCTTTGTTGATCTACACTTTCCATTATGTATGAACAGTTAGGTGTGCTTCGGCATCCATGAATTAGACAGCTCATAGTTCCTTACGCACTTGTTGAACAAACAACTCGAGAACGCATGCCTATTCAGTCAAAAACCTGCAATCAAACGGATAGGGGAAGAGTTTTTGTAGAGCAGTTCGTGGTAGTTATCAAGAAGTCGACCTCAATATTTACTCTTAGAGAATATGATGACGCCCACCGACATTTATGGGTTGAACAAAAGCTGGCAAAATTTTTCAGCTCTATAACATAGCCCGATGAAGCTACAGATGCGTACTCTTTTACCTGTGCACCAAAACGCTATTTCTAGAAATCTCTTTCAACGTAATCTAAAATAAACATAGCTTACAAACTGTTTAACTTCGTTTAACTCTCCTTTGCTGCATGATTGCAATGATGTCAGATACGCCAAAGCTACAAATGACTACTCCTTCGTCGATCACCACATTAAAACACGAATTTCTGAGTTTTTACTGAATAACGAAAAAGGAAAACTCTTTCCGATTACAGAACTCGTGACCTTACGGAACAAGGTACAAATTTTTTACGTTATGTTTTCGTTTTCACTGTTGCTCGTGGGTTGTTCCCTTGTTGAAAGTGTTCACGTAGGAACGTAATGCAAAGCTGACAGCCTTTTTACGAAAGAAAGGAAAAGGGAAAGCAGCTGTGAATGTGCTTGAGGGATTCGATCAGAATGATGCTAAAACTGGTGACCTCAGGAAAGGTAGACTCCTCCTTTTATCTCCATTTCGTTACATTTCATTACAAAAACTTTTATCAGTTTTCACCCACGTGTTCACTTTCACTATAATATCCGTAATATCAGAGCAAAAAATTCCCATACATTTACACTTTAAGTGTGCATATTTTTAGCGCTAAAACTACTTGACGGTGGAGGAAAAGGAGGAAAATCAGAGTCGAAATATCGTGAACTCAATTGGAAGTTAGAAGAACGAGGTTAAGACTTCATAGTAGAAGTTTCAAACAATAAGTGCTCGCTGAACTGCTGAACGCAACTTTTCCGCTTCTAGTACCAAGTACTATTTTGCATTTTCGTCAGTTCTTAGAGAAGCTGTTTCGGTTGAAAATGTTTCCTATGTGTTTCCCAGCATCTTAACGTGCTCTTTTTAGCGCATTCCTTAGTCTGGTATGTTCAGCAGAAAAAAATTGGATAGGGTACTTAGAAGTAAAATTGAACCAGCTACTATACAATTTCTATTAAACTGCTCTTTTGGCAGTAAGGTAAGATTTTATCGTATGCAGGAATAAAGGAATAAGTGTCCGGCTCTGATCATACTTCAAGGATACGTCATTCATTCTATTTTGTTAAGCATTAAAGAGTTGACTTAGTCCGTATATCGTCTATAAATTGAAGAGCGGTGATCTACAGATTTATTAGATCGATGTTTTGTCGTCCCAGATATGTCTGTTACCAATTTACCAACTCCGCAAGAACCGAGCTTGGTTTGTCTGGTGAGCGGGATCGAAACGGCGACCGTCTGTCTATCGCAAAGAATCTCTAACCATCGTGGCAGACTATCACCTTTTTTAGTATAGTCCCGATAAATTTTTGACTAACTAGGCCTTTTACATGTTATTACGACAAGCAATCGTTGGCTTTTATTGATAGAAAGAACGTTCGTATGAAATATTGAGATATTTGCAAAACTCCGGACCACAGGTGTATGCAATGGAGAACGAACACACGCTGTTGTCCTTACCGCGGATTAGCGCACTTCACCACTACACCATCCGGGTCCTTCGCTTTGCGTGTATCTCAGCTACTTCTATCGATCTTTTTTGCCAGCAGCAATCACCCGTCAACGGGTTTGAAAAAAAATAGATCGATAGAAGTAGCTGAGATACACGCAAAGCGAAGGACCCGGATGGTGTAGTGGTGGGAGTTCTGCAAATATCTCAGCATTTCATACGAGTTATAATTCGAAACATAACCTGCCATTAAGAAGAAAAAGGCAGTAAATAAAAGAGTTAAGAAAGAACGTTCTCCATCACGAAATGAGGTCACACAGCTACTACAGTTGCGATTTCTTGGCTAGCTGGATTAGGTTCGTGGATGGCAATATCAAACCCTTTCAAAACTTTGGTGATTGTTAAAAGAACATTGAACCTCATTATCATAGCCAGCGAAGGAGAAATGAGTGTGGATCCAGCGGAATGCAGCTATAAGAAATAAGTGGAAAAAAAAAGGATAAAGCTCTCGGCCTTGATCAGTCCTTGAGAAATACGATATGCATTCGACTTCGTTGAGCATCGTTGGAGGTTAGAATACAAATCTAGCTTTTGCAATTAATCGCGGTGGTCTACCGTTGTATTCAACCAGTGCTGCTATCTTTCCAGAAAGGTCTGGTACCAATCTGCACCCCTAGGGATGGAGGGCTTGGTGAGCCGGGGGCACGGAGTTCGATCCCATGTGCGTTGCATGTCGCTTTCTACCGCTTCGCTATGCGCCGCTCTAGAAGAAATAGGTAATGCGAGAAAATTGTGGGTTGCTTTAGCAACTTTAGTAATATTAATACTTAGATAGGTCTTATTCACGTGTCAGACGGGTCTAAGCATCTCCACTCGTTTCGCTGTCTTGCAACCATTGTACATAAACGGTTGGAAATCCAATGTGGCTCTGGCTGCATTTTGTGGCTTCGTTGCTCCTCACATTCCAAAGTGAATGCTTGTCGAGCGTTATTTTCGCAGTCTTTGGCATCCTGGTTTGCTCGTTCATAGATTCCTGTGATGCCAGTGCATAATTGTTGCGAAGAAGAAAATGACAAGAAAAGCAGCATGTGGTTTATTTACGCAGCAAAGAAATTCGGATGAGGGGTGTAATTTAATATTATTACATGTGAATTTGTAAGGTGGAAACGACGACTATTCAGGTACCATGGGAGAGACAATAATTGGTGTGTGCCTTCTGCAAGGTACGACAATCCACAACATGCTTGCCCTTCGAATACTTGATTTGTATCCGAAATTAGTCAACGACATCTGTACATCAGAAGATTATTACGGTAGGAAACATGTGAATTCCTTTGCATAAAAACCTCATGTAAAATCTCCAGTCTTCGACAGGACGAATTTATCAGAACTGGCTAATGGTTTTGATTGACCAGTGAAATCGTTTGCTCCTCTAGCCTACGCTTTGCACAGAAGCTGTAGTTCATATTTCAAGGGCTTTCACCTCTTCATCAAGCGATAATCAATCACGACGTGGAGATGGTTAGCAAGTTACTGCAAAGAGGGGCTGATGTCAATCAAAGGTGCGTAAATTTGAACCTTTTGTTAAGAAAAAAACTAGCTAAAAATTATAGACGTGTGCCCAAATTCAAACTTATGAGGTCAGCTAAAGCGGCGAAATCGTGTCAAATCTAATGATCTTGAGCACAATGTGAGATTAATTTAATGTAAGCGTGGAGCTTTTGGATATCCACTGCAGTGGATGAGAGAGGCAATGGATGCCTGTCGTACCGTTGATCTTAAAGTGACCCAAGTGGGAGCTAGTAAATATTCTATTTGTTCCTATCGCGTTTGAGAATAGCCCAGGAGGTTTTACTCGCTTTAGGTAATTGCGCTGGACATCACATTTTTTTACGAGAGTTCTCTTGAAAACCTCTGACAATTGGGTCAGTGGCCTTCTTGATATGTGTTTTAATCCCGAAGAGTATCAACCACTATAGGCTCTTTGTCTATCGGTTTCGTGCTTATGCATTACCTGTGTGGTCCACTCTTATCATCGACTATTTGGCGGATAGAACGGCGCCTTTGATTTTTGATCGAGGCTTTGGATCTCCTCTCTCATTGCATAATACGGAATACTACTAGTCATCGCCTTTCGTCCTGCTTGTAGAAACATTTCATTTCATTCTAGGTAATCATTCACCCTGACTGCGTACCAACCAAGTTTCTGAAACATACGTTAAAACATGGAGAATTTTGGAGCAGAAAAAGTGGGAACGGAGCTGGGTTTTCTTTGTTGATCTCACTACATCCTCGATGCAGTTGAAACTTCCACAAGCCTCTCGCTTCAGCCTACTCAACTTTGTAGCTAAGTCGTTCATCATATTTACTTTCCGTTCCCAGTAAATATAGCTGAGGCATTCGTAAATAATCATTTCGTTAAACGGGAATGAAGCATAGGAAACGACTCCTCTCTTCACAAACACCTTTTTTGTGAGAATTAGCGCATTATCAGTATTAACAAAAGCTTAGTCGAAGTCTATTAACATTCGGTTTGCTTGGACATGGTACCATAAACGTAGAAAATTTCTGTATAAGGTTAAATGCAATAGCACTTCTAGGAATGACAGTAATTATGACAATGACAATAATATTTACTGGCACGCGTATCATTTGTAGAGGCTGGCGCAGCCTGGTGGTTAGTGGTGCATTGTGAAATTCATTTGGTTCTTGAGTCTATCACGCTTCCCAGAACAAACAGACACCTAACTCATCTAAGTTGGAAGGTTAGGCATCACACTTTGCTGGAAGGTTAAAGACACTAAGCTGAAACACAGCCACAATGATGGTAGGATATCCGCACAAACCCGTACCCCAGTTCAGAATCGAACTCACAATTACCATTTCCGGGAGCTCACGTGCTATCCACTGCACCAACGAGGCCCGTGATTTGCTTTTTTCTCCGCCGGTCTTTCCTAACGATGCCACCAGCAATCACACATCGGGAATTATCTGGGAAGCACAAATAGACGCTAATCCCAGTTAAGCTGGGGCAGTAGTTAAAATCACACTGCTTAACATTTACTTACTGCCTGTTATTCTTCACAACAAGGAATTATGTGAAATACAACCACAATGACACTGAAATATTTGCAACTTTTTTTTAAACTTTTTTAGTTGCTAGGCTTGCAATACTTTGATAAATACATTTATTCGGCTAACGTTTCGACGTCTTCGTCTTCATCAGAGCCTTTGATCTGAGTCGGTGGTCGACGGTTGTTCCCGTTCCCAATGTGGAGTTTTCGTTGTCGTACCGAGACGGGGTCTTCTTCAGTGAACACCGCTCGAGTGAGGGATGCTCACGCGGCAGTGCTCTTTAATATAGGGCTGTTGTTGCTGACATGACTATCAGTTGATTATAGTTTTTTTGAACAGGTAATCCACCCTGCAGCAGTTGGTATTATTGTTACATGTCGTGTTTTAGTTTGACATTTTTTTTTACTTTATACGACCCGTCTTCACTACTACTGCGCGGATTCCAGCCCTTCTCACACTCGATTCGTTTCCTCGTATCCATCGTCCACTAAGGTTTTCCTACTTTTATGTGTGGTTTCGGTTTCTGCTTGAGGATTTTCACTTCGTCTTGAATCTAGTAGAATGCTAGTCGAGTCTATTTTCACTGAGGCCCTGAGATTGAGGAGCTAGAACGTTTACAACCGAATTTAAGAGTGTGGATTTTTTCTGGAAAAATCCGGTACCAATTTTCTGAACCAGGAGGGATGAGAGGCCTGGTGAGCCCAGCGCGGAATCGAACCACTACCGTGCTCGTGGTGTACCGCATTAGCACCAATATTCAACCTGCCCTCTATATCCATCTGCAAATATTTGCAATATGCTAATACTAATTTTAAACTGATACATGAGTAGCTCATTCTCAAATCATGGTGTAGGCAAGCTATACCTTTATACCTCCCTGTATGCTACAAGTAGAATCGAATGCAGACAATGTAGTCTAGAGAAATCGGAAAAAACGGGACATTTCATTATTTGTTGCTCCACTAATCATTCAACAAGTGGGTGTTAAGCATTTTTAGGTGTTACGGTGCATTTTTCTGTGCAGATGATCAGAAAAGCAGCCGAACAGACAGTTTGGAGCACGAATACGTAGAATTAACTATGAACACCAACTACACCGGGTGAGAACCGTTCTCTGTCTTGCTTCCTAGCAGATGACAAAATCCATAGTGTTAACTGCTCAATTTGTGGGAGACCAGAAATAGAACTTGATTTAAAGCTAGGGTGACGCTTGCTCATCTTATATAACTAAAATAATTGCATGATGAGCTGAAATGGTGGAACTTACTAGCCAGAAATATCTAGGTCGTTTAAAGGTCTCTTAAAATTCGATTATGTCTAAAGCAAGAAAAAACTCCACAGCTAAGCTAAAAATCGATCTGAGTCTTTCAGGACAATGTATTTCGGTGAATATCCTTTATCATTCGCCGTTTGCATGAATCATCCGGATTTGTTTCGTCTTCTATTGGCGAAAAAAGCTAATCTACATGCCCAGGATACGAATGGCAATACCGTACTCCACCTCTGCGTAATACACGAAAAAATAGTAAGTGTTTGTGTATCGAACGACATATCAGCACCTAACAACCTCTAAGTCTTCTTTTAAAACGGAAGCGTCCAATATTTCAACTAATGTGTGATTTACTTAAGCAATATTTGTTACTGGTAATTAGCAGTAACAACTTCCAGCTACCAATAGATAAAGGGGCAATGTTGCCATTTCAACTTCCGTGCTGTCTAGTGGGCACGTCACACTCAATTTTAAGATTAGAGCTCCTGGTTCCTTGAGTTGTCATGGATGATGTTAATCACCATAGTGAACTCACGTAGGTCTTTTACATAGTGTCAACATTTGTTAGGCCATTGTTTGCAACCACTATTAACAGTAAAGCCGTCGTTAATAAAACCTTAAACGCTCTCACTAACTTCTGAGGAATTTTTCGAACTGCACATGGTAATGGTTTCTTCTTAGTTTTAACACGATGTTGCATATAAGGCGCCGAGAATTGTGGAAACGAATATTGTTACACATCTTCTCGACTACAAAAGCGCGCTTTTGGACAGCAGTTGTTCAAAAAAGTTCATGTTCATAGCCAACCTCGCGCTGATAAAGGGAGAATAACACCGGCTGTCGTACCATCGCATGTTTTGAGAAACATTTTTCTACTATCGTCAACGGTACTTAGCAGCTGTTATTTTCTCGTCTAAGCCAATCCAATGAGTTATTTGTTTTTAGCTTAGATCACCAAGGCTTCTTAGGGCTAATTCTGGAACTCTGAAATTTTCAGCCTTTCAGCAAGCACCATATTCAGTCTTCCTTTACGCGATTCCTCCTTTGGAAGAGGAAGGTGGAACCCTCCATTCTGTAGTGATACCTGTAAATATCAAAATGACTACCAGTAGCAACTGCACGACCTACCTTGATTAAATTTATTATGCCCGGGCTCGTCTGAGCTTCTATTTGTCACCTCAATTTTTACTTTTAGGGTCAATCAATTCATGATCGAAAATAAAATATCAAGCATGAAGCAGATATCGACTGCGACTTCAGCTCTACTGCGCTCACCACTTGTTTGTGCTCTCAAATCATTTCCACTAATGGATGATTGCTGATAGAACGGTTACTGTTTAAAAAATGGATGGAGGAAGGCAAAGAAAAGACAGCAGTTAGTGCGGTGGGTAACACGTGAGCACCGGGAGTGAACAATCGCCGGTTCCAATCAGACCTGGATTCCAAGTTTTACAAATATCCCGCTATCGTTTCGGTCACATTTCACATAATACACTGCCATGGAACAATAATAGGCGTTAAATAAGAGCTAAAGCATTGTGATAAAGCAGATAATCTAATGAAGCTAAAGTGTTTCCGTTTATTTCAGGATATGATGAAACTGGCCTTAGAGGCCGGCGCTCGGTTAAATATAGCTAATAAGCAGAATCTGACACCATTGACACTGGCTGCAAAATTGGCAAAGAAGAAGGTTCTCTTTTTATTCATTACCAAAAGGTCATGAATGAAAGATGGAAGAATTTTGAAACACGCGCCATTTTTCCGAAGAGCATACCTAATCTATAATTTTTCTCTGCCTAAGCGCTAGAAAGCACTTCACCTTTTTCGACAATCACAGATTTGAGAGCGATTACTGGTCGTTTTTGGAAAACAACAACAGATATGTGCTTGCTTTGCCATCTGTTTTTCTATTTAAAGTACCTTTTGTCTAGTATAGTTCCTATTTTCATATCTTCAACATAATCCTCGAACTGGAAGGCCAAAGTGTATGGGTATACGGAGAATCGAACTGCTTCTCGTATCCATTAACTAAAATTGATACAATCAATGAAGTGACTGGCGAGATGAACGAACAATCTGCTCTGTCCCTGGTTGTGTACGGTGTAAGTTTTTGAAGCTTCCTATAATTTTCATTCAAATAAATCTAACCCGTCGAAGTGTTTTATCCAGCTCCACATATTTACCATAAAAAGGTGAGAGAAACGGCGGTTGAAGAATCCACGAAATACAAACAAGCAAGATTCATGTTCCGATACACATGGAGCTAAAAGCCCTCTACCGGATTGAGAGATGCCAAAGTTTTCTAGGAAAAGCGATTCAGTGAGGAAAAAAGAACATTATATCAGAACTATTCCTGAACTCCAATGACAATCCCACAGAACTATTATTCAACTACATTGACAAAAAGGTAAAGTGGTCAGTTGACGGAGAACTTTTCGCGAAAATCCGAAGACTTTTGTAGACGATTGATTAGAAGAAGCGAAGCGAATGCTAGGATCTGAACAATATCAAAGAAAGATCATATAAATAAGTGGATTAGATTAATGTTAATACAGTGAGCCTTCACTGTTACGTACTTTTTCATTTCTTGTTCTCCGTAGTCAACTTTTCTGAAGCATTCTTCAACTTAGCTGTCCGTAGCATCCTCCTCAACCAGTGAAAAGCCCATATCATCAATTTGCACGCATTTGTACACCACGTCAAATAGTAAAGTCAGAGGTGAGATGTGATCAACACCTAGGTCTTCATGTTAACAATTCCCAACGAACTAGTACATTCACATAGCGAGCCATCACGGAAGCTGCTTTGGGCTCTACTTCTTGAAAATTACATCATGGCGAAGTTCAAATTTATGTCGAGGCTGGGGACCAATTTTTTAGAGCACCTGTCGACTGCGAAGCGCTTTCACATCATGTCGTCCTCATTCTATACCAAATCTGACGCTTGTTTGTGATCGAAAGAAATATAATGTTTTGCTTTCTATATGCTGCCTATTTTTATGACGTGGTACTGTATAAAATGCAACCACAAGGATACTGAGATATTAGCAGAAGGTGGAACTTCAGCTGGGCTTCGAGCAAACGATTACCTTTACCCGGAGTTCACGTGCTATCCACCGCACTAGGCCTTTTTCTCACTCAGTTTTTAACTCCGACAAGGTTATCAGCGATCACCTTTAGTAGAAGGAATATAGGATCGTGTATTGAACGTTTTGAGTAGGAAATCAGAACGGAAGTCAAAGTGCCACTCATGTAAAAACTGCGTTTCATAGGACAAAATTTAGTTTCGAGGAAGAAAGAATACTTTAAATGGACATAGGAATGGCTCAGTGGTAACTTCATTGTAATGTTCTTATAACCTGTTAGACAACGTTGTCTTTCACAAGAGTACTTGCTTCAGTTTTTGATTCAAATAATATGATTTCATTGTCCTAAATCGAGAAGCTTTCCAGCTTAAAGAAAGTTGATGTTTACTTAGCGCAGGGATTACGCATTACGGTCTGTGGAATCGCTGTTACAGCCAACAAACTTTGCTGGTATTAATAGTTATCTTCTTTTTAGCTTTCAAAGACTAAAGGAAGACAAAACCACTCCATCTGCATGCTCAGCGCTTTAGGCCATAGCTTTGCGCAACGACTTCATTCCGGTCTTCGAGAAGTGTTGGAGAAATAAAGCTACTGTTAAGTTGCTCAGCAAAGCAAGGAAAACAGGAAGCGAGGGAATGAATCAGAAGAAAGGATATTTCAAAAAATGACAATGGAAAAAATCAGCACAATGGGAAAAATCGTCGAGGAGTTAACAACAAGCTGGCGGAAAGAAAAGATGTTGGAAACCATCAAAAACGGAATACACGAACTCATGTATAGTTGTGTTTAAGCCAGTCCTTTGATAAATGACAACCTCAGTCGGTCCTTCATTCTTCGCTGAATTCTTTTTAGAAATCCACACTCTCTACTTTTTAAACAAAATATTTTTAGCTTTCGAATTAGAATCGACATCACCTTGTAAAAGGGAAGACTACATTGTTCTTTCCATATTTTTTTGAAGGCATGTTCTTCTTTTTTTGAAGCCGAGTTCAATGAGTTGACAGAAAATTTGATTGATTTTCCAAGTTTTTCCGGGTATCTCCAACTTTTAGTTTCTACAAAATTGGCGCTCCAATGTTCGTCATTTTAGAAAACCTCGGAACATCTCGAACTTTTGGAAGGAATTCTGGAGAAAATTGTTGAGGAAAAATGGAAAGCATTTGGGAAACGCTAGTAAGAGTTTCATATCCACTTGGATGTTGAGTGTACAGAAAACTTTCACCAAGTCATGATTTCAGCTGGCTTCGTTCGTTGTTTTTCTTCATAGTTTATTACATCATCTTTACAGCAGCGTATATGCTGCGTCCGATTACCGCTACCACGGAGGTAACAATGCTTCTCATCCATTCATTTTTTACTTCAATTTTTTTGGGCGATGAAGAAGTATGAAGAAAACGTATAACTCCTTATAAAAAGAAGACAAAACTCCCAAACGGTAGCTCTATCGAAGCAACTGGGTTCTGGAAAAAAGTGCTCATATTTCCATTAGATCGATCAGTATCGAATACGTGCACGTAGGGAAGAAACAACATAATATCAAAGGAAACAAGAAATAGTAAAGGATAAAATAAATGATGGGAACTAGAAAAGTTTGTTGTCGGAGATCGTTCTGCAGTTCTCATTACCTAAGAGAGTATTCTAAGTTCTAACACTAACCATTTCCTTAAGGTTTGCATTTGTTGAGGAAGGGTGAATATAAGGTAGAAATAAAACAGGTGACACTGACGAAATGATAAGTTTTCATTTTTGACGAACGTTCATGTGTATTTCATTAGTATGCAAATTGCCGTACAAATTAATATTGACAGATAGGTGAGCGGCCGTATGCGTTGAGTTCTACGCATAATTTGTACACTGTTTATTTTGTAATCGTTCCCAGGATCGACTTTCTCTTAACCTCGGCATTGGAATATGAATGTGTCGTTTTCTTGTTCAGCAATCGCGAGGTTGTTAAACACCATATGTTTACTTTCATAAAGAAACACAATACAATACAACACTAGCTGACGTTTCGGCAGTATCGCCTCCTTCAGAGTCTGGAAGGGTATGCTGATATACAATCTACTAGGCCAAACGCTTCAATAACACTTACAAAAAGACGAAAAATACCGCTTTTTCGTGACTTCCAATGAGGAAGTCTAGAACAGCTGATTATAGTCGCATGTGGTTGACGACTGCACCATCCCACATCAAAAATCGATGCGAACGTACGGGATCAGGTCGCGTATGACCTCCGGGCATTCGTCCCTGCTACTCATTGTAGGGTTTTTGGCATTGATCCAAAAAGCCTCTAGGAGTTTTCGCGCTGGTGTTTTGGACTCCTGTGCAAGCATATTGACCTTTACTTCAAAATCGTCTCCGCTATGCTTTTGTATCCCATGCGTGCCTAGTGGGGTGCTTCGTCTTAGTTTTCCTTTGCCATCTAGGTGTTCTTTCATACGGATACACAAAGGTCTGCCCGTTTCGCCAAGACATTCATCTCCGCAATTATTACAAGAGATCAGGTATATCGTACCTGAACTCATGCAATCACCGTCCCTGCCGTAAGGGCAAATTACGCAATTTGTTGTTTCACACAGACGGTCATACAGGCGGTTGCGAACTAATTGGCGACGTAGAGTAGCCCAACCACATGCGACTATAATCAGCTGTTCTAGACTTCCTCATTGGGAGTCACGAAAAAGCGGTGGGTTTTTTTTGGAGAAGTTGTTGATCGTGTAATTACCAAAGAGTCTTTCGTCTTTTTGTAAGTGTTATTGAAGCGTTTGGCCTAGTAGATTGTATATCAGTATACCCTTCCAGACTCTGAAGAAGGCGATACTGCCGAAACGTCAGCCAGTGTTGTATTGTATTGTGTTTTTATGGAAGTAAATGTACGCTGTTTAAAAACCTCGCGATTGCTGAACAAGAAATAAGATTTCCTATAATCGTATTTATGCACTCTAAGAATATTTACAGCAACTCACTGGCGGATTGATTCATTGTGACGGCTCTGTTGTCAAAACATCCGCTGAGTACGTATGGACTGAAACAGGTAAATGATTATTAGACTTGTGCTCTACGTCCACCCATCATGGTGTTTTCTGGAGTTTTTCTTAGAGTTTTTCTTAAGATCATTGTATAACGAAATTCTAAAATGCAGTTAGTTGTGGAGGATTTTAGATGCGCTGAATGCTAGGTGTCATTTGCTACAGTACTGGAGGTGGAATTGGTATCAGGGTTGGGTAAGTGCGTGTTCGTACATTGAATGAACTAAAAAGACTTCTATTGACTTCTTCGCTTCACCGTTGATGTCGATGCTCATCGTCATGTCATGATCATTGTCATTACAATAATGCCGAGATATTTGCAAAATTTGGAACCCAGACCAGGTCTGAACCCACGATTACCATTTCTGGGGGCTCACGTGTATCAGCTTTACCACGGAGGCTCTCGCTCTGCCTTTTTTAGGCAGTTTTTCACACTAACAATGCCATCACCGATCACTCGTCAAAGGTTATACATTGTGATCTCGACAATAGCCTCAGGTTAACTAGATCCAATGTTGATTTATGCTCCCCAGATCAGTCCCGTTGCAGCCTCTACACATGGGCCCCTGGAAATGGTAATCGCGCGTTCCAATTTGGCCTGGGGTCTATATTTTACAAATATCTCAGGATCATGTAATTGTATTTCTCATAATACGCCGTTATGAAGAAATAATAAGAAAGAGTTGAAAAGTTATACAACATCATCATTCTCACCATCCAGCATTCAGTTACGATTAGCTTGTGAGATGATCGTTGTGGTGTTGGTGGTTTTTCAAATTTCACTTGATATCCATGAGATTCGACTTATTGGTAAAGCGAAATGGTTCTCGATTATGGTGAGTATCCTTCGTTTTTATTCAAAATTAACTGTGAAAAGGGAATCTATGCAAAAAATAAAGTTTATGCTGCTCTAATTTTCGTTCTAACTGAAACATTTACATTACACTGCCAACATTTACTGCCACTGATCCGTTGCTAAACGATAAAGAATAGAGCTCTCAGCGCTGACTTCATTAAGCTCCCTTGTAGGTGACTGAATACCTAGCCTTTACAATGACTCGCGATGGCCTACCAATGTATCAAGCTAGTGCTGCTATACTCTCAGACAAGTGTCGTACCAGTTTACCGAACCCGGAGAGATGGAGGACTTGATGGGCCACATGCTCCTGGCTCCATTGGTAACGAAGTTTGTCGGTGTACTGGCAAGTGCTCGAAGTTCCCTTTGAAGAAATGTTCGACTAGTTCGAGTTAGTATCAAAACACCTCAAACTCATTGCTGCGAATAATCCTCTTTTCTCACATATTCTGGATTCTAAGTAGGAATTTCCAATAGAACCATGGTTAGTGGTGAATTTTTTGAAGAAATGTCGAGGCAACTCCTTTCTTTTTTTTTTTCCTCATCATTCATCTTGTTTTTCTTTTCTGTTCGAACGCTAAAGACACATGCATAAGAACAACCCTCTGAATCTTCAACACAGTCTTCAACAAAATGAATGGAAGAAAAATCCATGAAAAATATGTTAGTATGCTTTGATAATTGTTTTAATAGATGGTACTATTTCCACACATTCATTTTACTCTTTATTTATCAGTCCAAACACAATAAGAAATGTGAAAATACTATCTCACTAACCGTTTTCTGGCCCCGAGTCAAATCCGTTCTCTTTGCAGAAAGCTTTCCCAGCAAAACTGCTCTACAAGGTCTCGTTTGTGTTGGTGTTGTGCGAAGTGCCGATTCGTTTCTCATGTCATATCCACGAAGTCTTTCTTATTGCCGACAATGTCGTCTCCTCAATTGCTGTACTCCTCACTACTCTTCACTTCCTCTTCTACTGCAGGTATTGTATTTTCTCCCAGTATTAATATTAATTAATAGCCGACTGAACGACATCGCTACTACTGTGATACCGGTTTACCCCTAGAGATATATTAAAATTGAAACACATATTTCGAAGCCGACTTTCCCTGAACCTCGATATCACTAATCAATATGTATTCTGTCTTTGATGAGCTTACACGAGGTTGATAACGATGTTTATTTTCGGCTAACGTTTCGACGTCTTCGTCTTCCTCAGAGCCGATGATCCGAGTCGATGGTCCTCGCTTGTTATTTGCCTCGACGTGGCAGCTTCGCCTTCGTGTCGAGTTAGGTCTTCTTCAGTGAGCCATCTCCTCGAATGAGGCATCCTTACTCAGTGATACCCTATATATCGACCATCAGCATCGTGTATAAAAGTGTTAAGAAGGCAAAGAATGTTATGGCAAAGTGTTAAGCGAAATACAACCACAAGATTGCTGAGATATTTTCAAAACTCCGGACCGCAAGTGTCTGCGGTGGGGAACGAACGCGCCATTGTCCTTTCCGGGGAGTAACGCCTTCACCACCACACCATACGGGTCCTTCGCTTCGCCTGTCTCTCAGCTAGTTCTATCGATCAGTGCCGTCAGCAATCACCCGTCAACGGGATTGATCTGAGGAGTCCACATCGGCATTAAACTCAGTTAAGCAAAGTTGTACTTGAATTCACAATGTTTTTACTTTTTATTTTCTGTCTTCTATAATTTTTATGGCAAGAAATCGGTAGAACTAGCTGGGAGGCAGGCGAAACGATGGACTCGCATGGTGTGGTGGTGAACGTGCTACTCCTCGGAAAGGACAATAGCGCGTTCGTTCTCCACCACAGACCCCTGCGGTCCGAAGTTTCGCAAGTATCTCAGTAATCTTGTGTTTGTCTTCATGGATAACTCTGGTGATGTTTTGCTGTTGTAGAAGGGATGAAACGCTTGGTTGGCCAGAATAGAACTATTGCAAGATGTTTACAGCTTCATGGTTTGCTCTTCCGAGAGAAAATTTATCAAAAAAAAATCCGAAGTTACAATCTAAATTGGCAGTCTCTAATTAAAAAGTATATAAAAAATTTTATGACCATAAGTGTGCTGTTTGTATTCTACGAATTTAGCTTCCCCTTTACTGTTTTCTCATACGCTCCTCAGTACAGGTCTCAATCGAACTTTATTGGAGGGAACTGATCTCTACAATACAAGGGATCCACTAATGAATATTGTAGGGCGATTCCTTTCATTGGTCCGTTTGTGTTGATGGTCTACACGATTATCGCAACAGATCTAACCAGATTCTTCATGATTTATTCTATTTTTCTTGTCGGCTTCTCACAGTGTGAGTGTTTCCTTTGTTTTACCGCCTCCTTAATTCATTTTTTCGGAAACACTTGAAACGCGATTTGAAAAAAACTTTTTTATATTTTTTGCAGTATAGGGTGCGCGACTTAACTGAGAATTCAGAATAGGTGTTCGCTACGCTTCAAGTAATCTTCTAATGTAGTTTACTTTGTGAATAACGCTTATCCATGCGTTCATTGCTGAAAGATGAAAACAGACTGGTCCACAGTTGTTGAGCAATAGGCTTTCGGCAAGATTTCCGGTCCAAGGATCGAGAACTTCTTTTTTCAAATGCTTTATTTACTTCGATAGTGATGCAGATAACTTTTGAATGATCAGTCAGACGTCTGCGCAACGATATACTGCTTAAAGCAATCAATTAAAGATAAAGCTTAAAACGAAGAGAAACTTTTACAACCGCTGGGTCATAGTGATGACTGTCTTGCGTCGTATTTTCCTATGTAACCACCTAGTACTCTGATAGGAATAGAATTGTTTGAATACACTAACTCCTCCTCTTTGCTATGAATCTTGCTAAGTCCAGCAGAGATACCAGTTACGCTTTTAGGTAAGTTTTTCTTTCGCTGAACTCTCGAGAAAGGTGTTGTGTGGCCTCCCCAGTCGTGACCACAGAGATCTCTTGGTCTTCGTGGTTCCACCGGAAGTTTGCCAACCCGTGACTAGGTTACTTCTACTACGTCGGTGATTACTGGTGATAACTTACTGGTATCTGGTATTCCGGATCTGAATTACGAACTCCTTTTCAACTTGAAAGACCCTGTTGGTAAGATGGACCCTTCTGTGCGCCATTACTTGATATCCATGGAGAGCTCAGCTATAGTGTGGAGGCCGAAACTGGCGTAAAACTTCGTTTTCTTTTTCTCAAGACACTTCAGTTTTAAATAAGTTGTCCTTTCTCTATCTATCCCAAAAAAATCAATCAATAACATTGTTACATAGCCTATACGTAATTGTTAAAACTCAATACTTTTTACTGATTTAAGCGTTTTACATAATTTTTACCTCCTGCGAGCGAAAATCGAAGGAAATCGAGGATCAAGGAGGTGTGAGCAATTTTGAAAACGTTATTGACGTAAGCTCGGTTTCCTCGTTTTCCATTTTTTTACTCATTATCCACAGGTTTTTCTTTAGGAAATTTATTACAGAATCCTTTCGAGGCTCTATTGAGGACATTTATTATGACTATTGGTGAATTTGCAACTATTTACAAACAAATGGCGTCATGCGAATCGATGCTTATGAATTTCATTGGCAAGGTTCTCCTTTTTTCGCTAAATATTTCATTAGATTATGTAGTAATAGGTTGCGAAATAAAGAAAATCAGGTTGAGAGCCTTATCATGAGTAATCTCTTCTTGTAGTTTCCAACCTATGGCTATTAAGGCTTTTTTCTGAGAAAAAATTAAATTGTGACACAAGTGGATGGCTCGGAGCTTCCGGAAAGTGCCACCGATTCCGAGTCAGGATTAGATTTCTCCGATAAGCCAAACATCTAGCCGAGAACAAACCATCGCTAGCGAGATCTTGCATCACATGACTGTAGATTTTAGTCACAATGTGGCACTAAGAACCTCATTCTTATCAGCACTATGACAAAGCCCATGAAGAAGGCCAACAAATCTGCTGCAAACTGGCTCTCTCGGGACAACAGACAATACCAAAATCCTTCTCTGGGAATTTTCTTCGACATTTTCAATTTAAAAAATTAAGTGTCTTTGAAATTATTTATTGGCGGAGTTTTTCTGTATGCTCCTTCCAAATTTTTCTGATTAGAATGTTGGATTTCTTACCTTATTCCTTTAAACGAGGCATCCATAACTGCTTCGTTGTTTGAGATTAGTGGCACCTCGAAAAATTTTGATTGCAGAAGTGTTTGAGAGTTTCTTCTCAAAAATATTCGCTTTACACGGTGACTCAAAACATCATATGGTGAACAACAAATTGTGAACGTTGGAAACCGACTTGTCACATTTTAGATGATTTTTTTAATCTTCGAGATCTTCGTGTCCATATTGCAATTCAATCTTCTGATCGCCATGATGACACGAACATATGAGACCATTTTCGAGACAAAAAAAGAATGGAATCGTCAGGTACGAACATCATTGGCTTTTACTAAAAAGGCTATTCGATCGGCATTTAGAGATGATGTAGTGGAGAATCATCTAGTGCATTTCTTGATATGCACAACCCACCTGTATCACCTGTAGTCCCGCTGTTCGTCGAGTGACTCGAGCGTGCGCCAGCAATTCTTCCATTTTTTCCTGTCGCGTGCAGGAGTAGCCCAGTGGGTTCTGCTCGCTCTAGGGACTCTACGGACTCAATGAAGAGCATCATGTCTTTCTTCTAGGCTTTTCGCGAAGAACGCTGACAGTCGGGTCGGTGGTCTTCCTGCTGTACGTTTGACATCCCGAGAAACCCAGTCATTAACGCAAGCATGAATACGCCCTTGAGAATACATGATATATGTCAACAGGCTGTTGCAGAAAGAAGGAGTCCATCCGATGGATCCACTTACGTCTCAGAGAAGCAGAACTCGCTTTCGATCAGCGATTAGCCCCTTATAAGCCAACAGGGGACGCGTAGCGCTGCATGGCGACTAACGGACACGAGATTCTCCATGAGAGAGATCCGTGATCCGTTCAATGTCTTGGATGTGCAAAAAATAACTCTTAAAAACTGGAGTATCACTACAAATGGGTGCAAATTAGATTTATATTCAACCGAATTCGGTCTGAAATATGAAAGAATTTACACCGATTGCCGTGCCTCAGGAATCACTGTACATAATGGAATACAGTAACACTGAATGCATTGGCTTCCATTACTACTAGTGCCACGAAAAGCTTATTATTGCTAAAAAGCCACGTCAGGTTTCTTGATATGTATGGCTTTAAGCTACCTCCAAGTTACTCACGGTCTATGTGCATTCACAAAACTATTGCGAATCAAGGATTTATTGAGCTTTGTTGTTATTATTGTTTATTTTAGTGCCAAATCGTGGGTTACTGTATCCACTAGCCACCCTTGACTCCTCGTCCTATAGGTTTCATTCTAAATATTTAGAGGTTTTAGTACCCACTGAACTCTTTAAATTTTAGCATTTTTAATATTCTTCCATTTTTTGTCATTTCACTATTGCACCTAGTTATTTTTGCACTTCGTTTCAAAGACGAACTTTCTTCCCATGAATTGCTCATTGCTCAAGTCGCATATGAATTCTGTTTCTTTCTTCATTTATTTTTCCATTCTCTTCATTCCTTCATTTCATTTTTTATCCTCAAACTTCATTCCTTTCTTTAAAAGTTTTTTGAAAGTAGTATTTCGGTTACAGTGGGCGCAAGTTATTTTGATGTTGGAGTTATCGCTCTCACCAAAGGAACGACTTATGCATCTGCTTAAATATTCACGTCCAACTGGAGTAAATAAACGAATACGAAGTTATGTGGTCAACAAAAAAGCTGGCGTTGTGAGTAAATTCCAATGAGAATCCTGAGAATTTCTAAAGTTTCAGTAATTAAGTGACGAATAAATTGAAACTCTAACACTTGAGAAACAGAAAATAGGAAGAGAAGAGAAAGGTAAAGAACGGAAAGAGAGAAGTATAGAGAGAAAGAAACAAAAAAAGAGGAAATATTCTTATAGAGAAAAGGATTAACAAAAGACGAAGAAGTACGATTACTCGAAGAAAAGGCTGAGCATATTCGAGAAGAAAAGCGTCAACTTATAAAGAAAAGAACCCGGGTGAGTAATGTTTTTTCTAAATTATTTTTTTCATACAATTCGAGTTGTACATTTTTCACGATTGTCTCATACTTCATTACCAACTTAGGACTTGTAAGAAACTTGTAATTAAAATTCTCCTCGTTCGATTTTCAAAGATAACTTTTTCGGTTCGTTCCTTCTAGAAACTCACCTTTGACGTCATTTTTGCTTCATCGCTCTTCTTTTTTTTATCTTTACGTTTTTTTAGGAACAAGAAATCAAAGAGAACTCTGTGAGAATATTCTCCGACGTACATCGTCATGATTCATTCAGTAATGTGGAATATCGAACTTCACTTTATGATAAAACACATTGAGTTAGAAGAAAACTGTTCCTAAGTTAGAATTATGTTTTTTTACTTGGAAAAATCTGAAGAGAAGTAATTAGGATGACGCTAAACCGCAATGACGTCATAACTACCTACTTCACTGCCGCTAGTACTCGCCTATCTGCGGATAGCAAAATATTGACGACCTCAAAACATAATGAAAGTTTCTCCTTTTCAAAAGTTTGTGAGTAATTTGACTGTAAATTAGGTGTGTAGACGATGTGTATTACAAGAATATGGTGTGCGAATTAATGAAATCGACGGCATTGTTTTTCTTCTCTATTGTCTTTCGTTTTCGCCCGTCTAATAAAGTATTCAACTTAGCCGACTGTTGAGTGTTTACGCACTAGGATCATCTGTGAACTTTTTAAGAAATTTTGAAAGGTCTTTGGAAAATCGAAGGTTTTATAAACAATAGGTGATGACGTGAAACTCTGGAGTCGCCTGCCTTGGTACTTCACACACTCGAAGAAACTTTATGATTCTTTTCTCACCTTGAAATTATCTACACGTGTTGTCGGTACACCGGTGCTCATGGACGTGTAGCCCGAGCAAGACGCTGGGAATGTCGGCGACAAGAAACTTCTCATGATCAATAATACTGTACACCGACTTTCATTTAAGCGCAATATGAACAGCCAAGATACCTTGTTCATTGATAAGCTAGGACAAGATTGTTACCAAACATTTATTCGGCTAACATTTGGACGTCAACGCCTTCCCCAAAGCCGATGAACCGAGTCGTTGGTACACAGTTGGTCGTCTTCTCGATCTTGTATCTTCATAGGCATTCCGAGTCAAATCTTCTTCACTAAGCACCACTTGAATAGGTCGATCGCACCAGGCAACTAAAGAACATCCGACTTAATATAGCAACGAAGACAGCACATCGAGATGACGAGCGACTGTGAACCATCGACTCGGATCATCGGCTCGTCGAAGACGTCGAAACGCGAGCCGAGTACATATTTTTTATGACCACTTTATTGTCAATCGGCTAACCTCCGAACCTCTTCTCAATGCAAAGCTGTGCAAAAATGTCGGAGCTGGAGGAAGAACGTCAGGAACTGGTGATCGTGAAGAAGTCGATGAACACTGATGAGAGTTAGTAACTTTTTAAGTTTAAATGTAGGATAATAGGAGTTTAAAAGCAACAGAGCTAAACAAACTGTAAGTAGTTTTATCATATGTGTCAAGAAACAGCAAAATATTTAATATATAAAAAACAAAAATAAAGTAAAAATAAACAAACTCGCATCAGCTCAACAAGACCAGTTCATAAGAACAAATGAAATATTTATTTTTTAAACTACAATGAAGTATGTTTTGTGAAACAGACCCAGAAATAGTTTAAATGCTACGACAACTAAGCGAACTGTGTCGGCCGTTTTAATGAGAAGTCGCCCCGTTTCATGTTTCCAGATCCGTCCAGTCCTAATTTGGACATCTCCGTGCGAACCACACGTTCCGTATCGTAGCCGTACTTGATCTAGAATATTTTTACCAATGCGCCAATTTTTACCAATAATAAGAAGAACCTAAATCTCTCGGCGTTGATCAATCCCTGAGGGATACGCCACTCATCCGACTTCACTACGCATCGTTTGGAGGTGATCGAATGCATATCTGGCCTTTATAATGACTCACGATGGCCTACCGATGTATTGAGCCAGTGCTGCTATTCTCCCAGACAAGTTTGGTACCAATTTACCGACCCCGGAAGAATGGAACGCTCGTTGAGCCACGGAGGCGGGGATCAATTCCACGTGTGTGCTGCAGGACACCTCTGACCACTGCACCACACGCGTGCCAATAGTAGGACTGATATTTCCACAGATTTTTCTATTGTGAGGAATTTCTGCCCCATTATTCCCACGGTTACATAGCACCTTTTCAGATAAAGAGGTAAGCGTGAAGTGAAAGCTATCATATGCTCACCCTGAGAAGGAAGTGAATTCAAAACGTGGGCTAATAATTTCTTTTGCGTCTAATCGATATGTATTTTTTCTATGAAAGCGAGGTTATCCGTCTTTAAACGGTTCGATATGTTTGTGCTTATGAGGACTGCACCTTTAACGCTAATTGAACAAAAAGAACAGAAGCAACTTACTGTGAAGCACATTGGCTAATTTTTTGGTGTCTTCCACTCGGTAGTGCTTTTTTATGCAGAGCATTTGTTGATCTAGTGTCATTCATTTTGATTTGTTTTCACGGTGGCAGCTCATCCCGCAGTAATCGGAAATTTTGTAGAGTGCACCAAGTTGTCGATGAGTGATTTCCGTGGAAAATTGCAAGAATAAAACGAATCAAACAAGAATTATGATGACCGTCACAAGTTCTTCAGAGAATCGGGACCAGTTGGGCAACCTTAAAACAGTGCATAACCAATGGAGAGTTTGTTGATTCCTCTTCGGGTCATTCGATGTTGAAGGAAATCACGAGTGATACAGATGAGTGTTATTCCATAATTTCTCAATGGATTCTGGTGGCATACTCTGCTCGAAGAGATGGACAACATCAAATTGATCTTCTATAATTATCACGAAGAAGTTTCACTATGGTTGATAGCCTTCTTCTCGAGCACTTGACATCCCGTGCGATTCAGCTACTTGAGTATCCCTTCGTTAGTTACCCTCAAGAGATATTATGTGTCCCATGATTTCTTACATGTTGGCACATGCGCATGTGTTGTTAATCTTCTTCAATGTTTTTCAGAAATGAGGTTCTTTCGTCTCTCCCAATGTTTTTTCAATGTTTTTCAGAAATTAGGTTCTTTCGTCCCGTCTCTTGTGTAATACGTGACCTAGAGCATCATCGAGAGAGAGGGCGTTTGATGACGTCGACCTCATTCATCTTGCCCATGTAGTGTTCATTTTTCCAAGATGTATGTTTAAACAAAAGAAAAATGAATGAGACCGGGTGTAATAAGCAGAGCTCTAATAGTCCTTTCAAATCACTTCTTTTCTCCTGTCCAGTACTTGAGCCGAGTTGCTGGTCATCTGCATTCTAGCTCGACTAGGGTATTGGGGACGAAGTTTGTTAAAACCGAATACAGCCCACATCATTTATTTCAAAACCGACTTTCCTCTAGCCTTGGTATTACTAATCAACGTGTATTCTTTCTTTGATTAACTTACATGAAGTTGATAAAGATATTTATTTTCGGCTAACGTTTGGACGTCTTCGCCTTCATCAGAGCCGATAATCCGAGTCGATGGTCCACGCTTGATCTTCGTGGAAGGGGCGAAGAAGAAAAACAAGCCTAGACCATCGACTCGGATCACCGGCTCTGATGACGACGAAGACGTCGAAACGTTAGCCGACAATAAATATCTATGTTAACCTCGTGTAATCTCATCAACGAAAGAATGCAGCCCACATCTTTCTTGCAGAGATGCAATTGGCAGATAATTCTCGAGCAAAGCCGATGTTTGTTCCATGCTTGTCGTGACAATTCATTGCTTCTGAAGAAAGTGTCATTGATTTTCTTAAGTCGCATCATTTGGTCTTCTTCCTGGAGGGAATTCGATGCTGGCTTACAGAGGTTACAAATAAAGGTCGTAGTCCTAGCATCTGAAAAGCTATAAGATTTCAGCAATCTCTTCACATGTTTTGAACAGCCCATCAGTAATGGGAATTCCTCGAATAAACGGAGATAAATTTTTCGTTTTCACAGTTTTCGCTGAAACGAAAAATATTCATGGGTGACGATCTTGTAGAGCACGTGCAGAGCTATTCGAGGTAAATTCTCCATGAATACAAGCAAACGAACTAATTTATTCATAGTACATCTGTATACCAAAGATATTACTATTTCGGTGAAAAAGAGGAAGAAAAGCGCATTCTCTTAATAGGCTTGAATAAGTGTCAGGACAGGTATCGTGCGTGAACGCACTTGGTTTCTGTTCAACAAGTTATCCTATACCTTATGACAGATGAATCGACCAAGCACGATTGGAACTCTACGGTTGGCGTTCGATCATATAAAGAAGTGCTTTGGGTTTTTCTAGTTTTTCCTTTTATTCCTTAACCGTTTTATTATTATTACTACTATTGTTGTTATTATAACAATCACGGCACTGGTCCGATATCGCCCCGAGCTCACCAAAGCCCGCACCCCTCCGGGATCGGAAAATTGCTGACTTGTATGACAAAAGTCCAATCCAACCAGTCCAACCAGTCCAACCAACCACATCACAAAAATTTTTACTTCTTTCGACGATTTCAGTTGCATGTTGTGCCTTGAAGCTGCTTTAAAGCTGTATTGACACTCACCTGATTTGCAAGGAATGCTGACAAAACTGCCCATGCTTCAGCCGTTATAGGGCAGATGCCATTTCGATCATGATCTAAACAAGTAGAAGTGAACGCCACGCACAAAATGGAATTGAGAGGAAAAGCTTGAAAGTGCCTATTGGATGGCCAGGTATGATGGTGAACTGATACGAACTTTTCTTTTTTCACACACAGCAACAAAACTGACCTAGGCATTCTGATTGGAAACTGTCCTTTATGGAGCTCATCCGAGACAAACTACTCCTCGAATCGCGATGTTTGGGCATAGAGAATGAAGAAATAGATTTCGAGTCATATACCTGAAAACACTGGACATCACTGAAAAACCATAATACTAATGCCGTTCATCAAGCGTTCAGAACGACCATGACGGATTCATTTTCGTCTTAAACTGTTTGAGATATCCAATTCGAAAGTGGGTTGCAGAAATTCAGGACAAAATCATGAAATGTACGGTACCCCGCTTTCATTTACAGCCTCCATCTTCTCAACATCCAGCAATGATCTGTGAGATTTGTCCCCTTCGCTTGAATACGAATCGTCTTCTCGAATTGCAGCTTTCTAAATGTTACCAATGCAAATTTTCAACTATGACAGAATCGATGTTCAGTTTTCACAAAAGAAAAAGTTCAACGTCAGATTTTAGAAATTATCTGTTAAGCCGATAAACCAGCCAGTGAAGAAGAACTTCAAAAATTGAGATACAACGGAAAGAAGTATATGGAATAATTCGTGTAAAGTTTAAAGAAACATCCACAGTTGCATAACACTGCAGATTTTTGCTTATACATCTGAACTGATCTTCTATAAGGTACATTGTTGAAGCACTAGGAGACTCACTTCGACGCGAAGATGATCGTTTTCTTGTAGTCGAGTGGCTGTATGACTAAGAGCATTCGCTAGCCTTTCGAAATACAGAGGTGACACTCGTTTTGGATATGTTGCATAGGATGCCCCAAAGTCTCTTAAGACATCGTATGAGGTGGATGGCTCACGCAGACGACGCATGGCTTCTGATAAAGCGATGACGAATCTCTGTAAAACGTTAGATGCTTCAAGAATGCTTAACCTACGACTCAGCGAAACAGTTCTCTAAGTTTTCTAAGTTCTCTAAGCAAATAAGTCCCTCGACAACGAAGACCCACCATTAATGGGAACGGGAAAAAAACAGGAAAATCAATAACTTGACAATAAAAACAATTTTAGAAGTTGGTAAAGGCTTTTTCCGCCGATGTGACAAGTAATTTAAACAGGGCCTAACACTAAGGTTAAAGGTCCCGTGATTCACATGGGAGTTGGTTCCACAAAGCGCCCATGCTTATTGAAGCCCTAATCTATCCGGCATCTGCAAATTAGTACTAAACCTGTCCAGAGGATAAAAACTCCGACTTGATAAATCGGCAAGCCAACATAAACAATTATATAGGCCAAATATGCACTCAATCAACTCTAGTATGCTTAACGGAGTCAAATGTATGGAGTTTCCATAAGAGATTGATCAATCTTGAGTGCTTTACCCTTCAAGCTAACTTCATTCATGTGACTTTGTTTGAAAAGATTTTAAACCAAAAATAACACGCATGAGTTATGTGTGATATTTCGATGAAAACACAGTGTACATAAGTTCCTATAAATATACTGGTCATCCACTTCCAACCTGCACATGAATTTTGAAGTTGATGTGATTGTTCCAGTTCGGTTCATTTTTCAGATCGATGTAAGCGAGATAATGAGGATTATCATTGAAGATACTCTCGAACACCCGTCTGCCAAGTGTGTAGATCGTCGCTAAATGAATAGAAATATGGATACGACTGAGAGAAAAAAACCGAAGGAAAAACCTGAAAGCCGCAGTTTATTGTCAAAAAGTGGACTATGGAAAGCTAGAAATAACAACAGACTCAAAATAAACTGTTGTTGTTTTCGTTCTAATCCAACAAATGTCAAACAAAGGTACAAAGGAAGTCCTGCTATACCCAACGGAATTTCCGACGGTGTAAAACAACCCTGACCTATAAATCAAATAATTCTTGGAAGCCTTTGATAGGCCATATTTATACTCATTGTATCGACAAGTTTTCCAATACTGAAACGGAACGCCATCGTGCCCGTTGCATATTTCAGATTGGGATTGACCGTCCACATGATTTCAAGAAAATAGTCATGGATTCAATCCGTAGATCGGCGATAACTAAGCCACCGACGATATCGTTGTGCTCATGATCCAACATTGGTAGGACAAACGCTTAACTACGAAGAATGCATAAACTAGTCAACACTTGTAAGACAGATGGTCTTTCATGCCTAGGCGAATTCGTGTACACTGACACATCCCATAAGTATTTCATCACTTGGTGTCTTGGATAATCACTCACATCGCCCATGAGAGTGGTATTCTGTTATCTGGGAAGATTCGTTAATGTACTTTTGCCAGTGTATTTCAATCACATTGATAAACAACGAGAAGTTTTGCCCTTTAGCGCTTGTGTTCGATAAATATCCTATTAGCGAAGCTATAAACTCCGCCTTTTCTAGGAGAACCTAACCTGCATTCAATTCCTTAACAATTAAAACGTGGTTCTAAGTCGTCTATACGCAAAAATATAGGTGGAAATCCTAAATTAAAATCTAAGTGTCGTTTTCTTTTGTCAAAGAAATGAAGCTTACGATCCACAAGTAAGCTCAGGTTGTATGTGCATAGATTCGCAAAGCTTTCTAACCCCTGCAAAAAACGGTGACAAATTCACCTGGAAAACTTGTTGACTTAAACTGTGTGAGAAAAACGTGGATAAGGACACCGGTCTCCCAAAAAATGTTCCACCAATAATCTCGATCCTTTTTTTCACAGACGTGGTGCATGTGACATACATAGGCATTGATTTTCTTCCACACTGGACGTCGTTTTGATGGCTAAAGAAAAACCAAATCTAGCTCTTAGATATATCTCAATCTTATCTCATACCCTATCTATATCTTAGACGAGATATGATTTTCATGTTATGATCTGCTACACCTCACCTTCATCTAACGTCTCCATATGAAAACGTTTGTCTCTTTTTTTGTTTATTTAATACTGACTTTCACTAGGAATTGAGCACAAGTGGTGATTTTCTGTGCAAATTGAATAATTTTTTCTAACCAAGCCTCCATGTTGACAGCCTAAGTCTGACGAATAATTCAAATCGGAGCGGAAAGAAGTACGACCACAGCCAAGGTTGGACTTAGGCTTAGGCTTGTTTATGTGAGAATTCTCGCCCAAACGGCTAAAACCCATTGAGACAAAAGGCCCATCACGTATTGGATACAAGCAATCTCAGAGCTTCTACCAAGGAATCGTGGATGAGATAAATCACGTACTCTCGACTGCTCACTACAAAACAGCTAACAGTTAACTCCATAACTTGTAGTGACGAAGAACATCGATATTTCAGCGTTCACCTCCTCATTTGTATGTTTTACAACTGCGCTGTCAACTTGTCCTACCCCTAGTTCTTCGGCGATTCGTTGTCATATTGATAAAGATGAAAGATAAATGTGCATCATGGTGAAGACTACTGTGCTGAATATGTTATTTACCAAACCGAAAAAGCAAACCTTTCACGCTTCACTCCTTAGCATTTCGTCAATATCACTATTGAAATCTATGCGCTGAGAATACTGCCATCATTTTATCAATTATAAATAGAATTCCCCTCACCCGACTCCATACGATTCCATTTTCGCATTAGTAATGCTTTCTGATGAAGTGTTAAACCAGTCACGCGGCACACTTCTTTTCGTCGGCTACTCCTAAATGACAGATTTTATCTACAGACCAACAAAGGAAGCTCAAAAAATAACTGTGATGGGGTGAGCCAATTCTTATTTTATGTAGTATTGATAAAACAGATTAGAATATTTACTTACTTGGATACTTGGACAGCCTGTCCTCACAGGTTATGCAGGCCCGAACAAAATCTCTACTTTTCCGAGAATTACTGGCTTAGCCACTGTAGTTCCCTGGAGTCTCGAGGTCGGCCAGACCAAAGTCTGTCCTAGGTCGTCACCACACCAGGCAGTCGCCGGCTGTTGTGGATTAGAAGAAGATTTACCACCATGCTACTAGTTTGGTACCAGGACGGTGTTGGATCCTGGTACTGGTTCACTCATAGATAGGCTTCCTGGTGGAAACGCCGGACTCCTTCTCAGCTTGGGAGACTGCCGGGAGGAAGAAAACCCCTCGCTCTACATCGCAGCCCGACACCCAGGAACACATCGTAGTAAGATAAGGCGGTAAATAGTTGACAGGATAGTTTGATAAATTAGAATAACTTCACCTTAACTTTTAGAATGAAAAATTCTGAAGCATAACAATAAGGGATGAAATAGTTATCATGTCAGATGAAAGAACTCATAGAATAAATACTGATATTAACGAGAAGATGAAAGAGTGATTAGCTACAAAGCAAAGCCAAAACAGCTACAGTATCCAGATTCTTAATCATTAGTCACTCAAAAGTTTTCAGAAGGAAGTTGCATCAAAGCGATTGTGGACTTTTTACCACAACTTTCGTTCAATTGACATAGATTGGTCCACTTAGACTTTTCCCACTACATTTCGTTTTTAGGGAATCAGTAGTAAGAAATCGACATCTATTATACCAGCACTCCAAGGCCAGTGTAGTCTTCCAAATAAAGCGAAAACCACTTACCGTTGGCGACATGTCTTCGATCTTCTTGTTAGCGTTACACTCACACACTGACGAGAAGCGTCGTTAGCGTCCTTACAAACGCTTGATCCACTGAAAAACCAGTAAGAAACTATTACGATTTTGGATTTAGTTGGTTTCCGTTTGGAATGATGAAAAGAAACTTTTTGCACTTTTTTTCAACTACCTAATTCACTTTGCTTCGATCCCACTCCGCTGACTAAGAGCACCCCTGTCCTTTTGGAATCGGAAAATTACTACCAGACCTATCTGGGAGGATAAAACCCTTAGGTGATACATCGGTAAGCTGCTGTAAGTCATTTTTCACATCAAATATGCATTCAATCACCTCTGAGTTGCTACAAATTGAATCAAATGGCACTGCAGAGATTGATTTAAGACTAGAACCCTTGGCGATTTAAGTAGTTCATGGAACTTTCTTCGGTCCAATATATTCAGTGTTTTTTTTCGTGAATCACACCATTAGAATGCTAACGACAGGACCCATTAGAGCCACAATAGAATGAAAATCGCTCTCCACTGCTTTTCCTTTGATGCCCAGCACTATATTGTCCACTGTGGCTTTACAAAGGAGAGTACAGTTACACATTTAGCTCCGAAGCTAACAAAAACGTTACGAATTTTTTTCATTCACACAGGCCATCTTCCCATCTGCTGTACGAATCCCTGCATTTCCTGCACGATTTGTTTCTTCGCATGTATCCAACAAGAAAGTTCTCCAGCTTTTCCATATAGGTTCGAATACTGGATGAGGATTTTGCATCATCGTCATAAATGTTGTTGAGTTCTAGCCTCTGGTTCTTGAGTTCTGGTTCAATCGATTCTCCCTGGAGTCTTGAGATAGAAAGGCTAGAGCATTTGTACTTCGATCCCAGATAACAAACTATTCCCAGACAACTCTGGTGCCAATCTCCCATAACCGAAGAGATGAGGGCCTGGTAAGCCCAATGCCTACTCGAATCAGCACCATTCCATCGATAATCGGCATCACCGCTGTTGCAATACTCCGCCTACGTGATGAAATGTAAAAGGATAAAGGACAAAACAATGCACGTTCAACAATTCCTATGGGACGCGTCGTGAATTCGACTCTATTCGTTTGCATCATCGTAGGAATTGAATGAATATTTAGCCTATAGAATGATTTACAGTGGACTATCACTATATCATGTCAGCGCTAGCACAGCCAATTCTGGTACCAATTTTCCGACTCGCGCGGGAAGGAGGGCCTGGGTTCATCTACGCGCAGAATAGAACATTATGCGTATTGAAAGGCTTCGCTAACCACTACGTCACATATATTTATAAAAGAGTATTGGTTATAAAAATAATTAGCCGTAGCATAAAGTGAATAACTAGGCATAAGCTGATGACTTGGCAAATATTTATACGTATGCACTAGAATAAAGTCATGAGATTTTATAAGGTAGTAAGCAGATGTAGTAGGGTACCCACGGCGAATGAAACACCCTGATCAAAAGACCCAAATTACTTCCGATTCTAATTTTGGAAGAAGTCGCTAAAACAGACGAAGGCTTGACTTTCTAAATTTCCTAATAAATTAGCGCCGAAGATGACTTAGTAAATCAGATACAAAATATAAATATGAAATAATCATATTCACGTGGAAATGGCCAGAAATCCATACAAAAGACTTCACAGTAGCTTATTAAATAAAGTACTACTTAACAAAATTTCATCAAAATCTAATTAAGAAAGTCGGACCTCTTATGATGCTTAACTAACTAACTGTTCACTTCCACTATTACGCTCAAAAGCCGGAGACTGAGATTTTGCACGGTGTATTGTCGCAAGTGAATCCGATGATTCCGCGTTTCCCATAACCAATCCTGTAACATGAAACGATGAAGGAGTCAGAAAAAAGAGTGAAAGGAGGAAAAGAATACTTGAAGGAAAGCGTTAAAGTAAATGCTTCTCAGTAAGAAGGATGGAATATTGATAACATTGCATTAAGATAAAACGCACTTAATCGAAATCCGAAGAGCCTTTACTTAGACCCATTCCCGAGATTTTGGACGCTATAGAGTTATAACTCGTATGAAATGCTGAGATATTTGCAAAACTCCGGACCACAGGTGTATGCAGTGGAGAACGAACACGCGCTGTTGTCCTTACCAGGAAGCAGCGCACTTCACCACTACACCATCCGGGTCACCAGACCGGATGCTCCCCGGTAAGGACAACAGCGCGTGTTTGTTCTCCACTGCATACACCTGTGGTCCGGAGTTTTGCAAATATCTCAGCATTTCATACGAGTTATAATTCGAAACATAACATGCCATTAAGAAGAAAATGGCAGTAAATAAAAGAGTTAAGATTGTGGCTATAGAGTTATTTCAATGGGTTAACAACAAACTTCTATCTGTTGTTCTCTTTTTTGCAGCAATCGCGAGGTTGTTATTCAGCGCACGTTTAATTCGTCACAGATATAACACATACAACACAACGGTAACTGACGTTTCGGCAGTATCGCCTTCTTCAGAGCCTGGAAGGCTACACTAGTAGGCAACTTACTAGGCCGAACGCTTCAGCAACGCAAAGAGAAAGATGGAAATCTGAACAATGATTATATGATTGCCAGCTTCTCAAAAACTCACCGTTTTTTATCTGCCTTTCACCAAGGAAGAACATCTGCTTAGAGTCGCATATGGTTGATTACTGCACCACCCCACATCAAAAATCAGTTCTGAGATACAAGGCTAGATCAGGTGTGAACTCGGAACATTCCTCCCTGCTTATTCATTGAAGAATAAAAATGCATGGTTTCCATATCCAGCAGCTTATGGCACTCTTAAAGGAGTGCTTAACTGCTCGATTTTCAGATGGTCTGGGAAATATTTCGCGCAAATAAGGGGGTTGGCAATGAGACAGCGACTGCTACCAAGTCTTGCCATTGCGTTTATGTCTAAAATAGAAGCCCCTGTTCTCGACCTCTGGCCACTACTCTACTGCTGGTACATAAATGATTGTTTTGTCGTCTTCTCTACGCAGGAGGAGATGGACAAATGTTTCGAATTATTGGACGAGCAGTCTGAGTACATTAAGTTCACCCCGGAGAAACCGAGAAAAAACTGGCTTCCGTTTTTATACGTTCAAGTAAACCTATCAAGTAGCGGTTACATGACAAAGTGGTACCGAAAGCAACAAGAATATCCTCGTTCATTTCCTTTCTTCCCACCCTTCACACATAGAGGGCGATTGTGAGAAACATGTTTCGAACAGCCACCTCTGTGTGCACAACCAGGCAGCTAAAGGAAGAATTGCGCAACTTGGCTCGGGAAAGGCCATCACCAATGGCCACAAAATAGTAACCCCACGAGATAAGTTTACAAGGAGAACGACGCGCCCACGCGAAACACTTTGGCCAAAAGAAAATCCCGTTTATGTTGCCTTTTATTAGCGATGAAGTAAGCGTAGCTATAAAACGATGCTTAAGAAGGGCAGGTCTAGAGGAATCGGTAGCGATAGTTGAAATACCACCGGATACTCTCCGTCGCCAGTTAGTTCGTAACTTCCTTTGTGAGCATCTATGTGAAACAACAAATGCACAATTTGCCCCTACGGCAGAGATGGTGATCACATGAGTTCAGGTACGATATACCTGATCTCTTGTAATAATTGCGGAGATGAATATATTAACGAAACGGGCAGACTTTTATGTATCCGCATAAAAGAACACCTAGATGGCAAACGAAAATCGAAACAAGGCACGCCACTAGGCACGCATAGGATACAAAAAAATAGCGAAGATTTTGATGTGAAAGTCGCTGCCATCGCACGAGAGACTAAAGCATCAACGTGCAAATTTTTCGAAGCTTGGATGAATTCCAAAAATCGGAGAATGAATAACAGGGAAGAATGCCCCGAAGTCACGCCTGATCTAGCTCCGTGTCTCAGAACTACTGATTTTTGATGTGGGGTGGTGCAGTCGCCAACCATATGCGACTCTAAGCAGCTGTTCTTCCTTGGTGGAGGGCAGATAAAAAGCGATGAGTTTTTCGAGAAGCTGGCAAACGTGTAATCATTGTTCAGATTTCCATCTTTCTGCTTGCGTTGTTGAAGCGTTTGACCTAGTAAGTTGCATATTAGTGTGCCCTTCCAGGATCTGAAGAAGGCGATACGGGCGAAACGTCAGCTATCGTTGTGTTGTATGTGTTACATTTGTGAGGAATTAAACGTGTGCTGAATAACAACCTCGAGATTGCTATAAAAAATAGAGCAACAGATTTATAATCCAATGCCGAGGTTAATAGAAAGTCGATCTTGGAAACAAACTTATATGTTCATGATATCCATACTATGTATATTCATCCGACAACCGGTCGAAATCAGATCAAGGAAGGAGATTTGAGATTAGAAGAGGCATTCTCTGCACTTGATGATTTAGAAAAAGTTTTTTTCCGAAAAGTTCACTGACTGGTATTTTGATTAATGATTCACTTCAATTTCATTTTAGGTGCTATATTTTAAACTATTATTTACTGCCCATTCTTTGTTTGTCCGCAGTTGCTTAGGATATGAAATGCAACCATAAGTACGCTGAGATGTAAGCCAAAGTCAGAACCTTACTTGGTCTTCAAACCAATCGCAGGTCCGAAGTCCAACTGTGGTTTCGAGTTTCGCTCAAATCTCAGCACCCATGCGGTTCTAATAGCTATGATTATTGTATGGAATGCGCGAATATAGAAACACTGGAGAAGACTCGGTACGAATCGTAAAACCCTTATTAAAAAGTGCTGTTGACAAAAAAGTGCTTACATAACGAACCACAGCAACACATGCTAAACAGTAGTATGCTTACCCTTCACAGTCATACAACGACAAAAAATTCTGCAATCCTTTTAAGTTCACGATCCGTCAAGCTCTCTATTCATTGAAAAACTACTGTTTCCTGTCAAAAAAAAACCAAGTCCATAAAGGATAAGAAATAGGTGTCGCGCAAATAGGCTTAAAAGCACCATCAAATGCGAAGTACAACAAAATCGGATGCTACAATGATTGAGTGCGTTTAGCGCAATGGTTAGAGGTGCAGCGCAGTCAACGTGTGATCACTGGTTCGATCCCCGTGCCATGGCCTAAATGAACCTTGGATCCACGCAGAGTCGGCAAATTGGTGCCGAATAAAAGACGGTGTCTTGATATACCGACAGGCTCCAACAAGTCACTGTACAGGCCAGCCATGCATTCAATTATCTGCGTAATTCTACGACTGGAGTCGAATGCAAAGTGCGCATTCCTAACTCTTTCATGATTATGAGCACTCATTGCGCACATATGTGCTCATTTGGGACCGTACATCTTGTTCTCAATGTGCACGCCTTTTGCTAGCCTATTTCGCAGCACCGACACTTTTCCTAGACTTTTTGTACTCAATCGATAATCTGGCAAACCTAAATTTTATACCAGAACCAGAGCATGAATAGTTAATCTCAATATACTATGCTTACAAAAACTACTCTCGGTCGATAGAATGGAAGCGGTGGATATGAAAACATGAAAAAGACAAGAAAATGCATTTCAAATACCTTACAAAACCACAAGAAAAATTGATAACACTGATACTAGAAATAGGCATATCTTTTTCATCACAAACGGGAAGTTTCCAGGAACAAGAAAACCGGAAACAGCGGATAAGAGAGTTAAGGAGAAACTGACGGAACGGAAAAATAGAGCGACTAGCTCAAGAAGCCGGTGCGCTGTCCGTCTTGCAAGCGCTCACGGACCGTACATGTCGATTTCAAGCCGCATTTTGATTTTGTTCTAATGGTATAAGGTTCGGTGGACCCAACACTCGTAAATGGTCATGTTTTTGAAAGCGTTAAGTAATTGATTAACACCAAATGCTTTGCAGTCAGTCTACTACCAGGACAAAACATTGACCACAAGAAAAGATGCCTCCTCTCCTCCTCCATCTCTTTGTTTTTTTTTGCACACTTACTATATTCTCTTACAAACACAGAAATTCAAGAATGGGATATAAAGTATGGGTTTGGAGAAAATTCATTTACTAAAAGATCGAAATAGAGAAAACTTTTCTCAAAGATTAGCGGCGCACGAAGAAGAAAGGAGTAAAGGAAAACGAGAGAGGTGGGGGTGAGGAAGAAAAAGAGAGCGAGCAGGTGAGAGACAGAACGGGAGAAAGATAAAAAGGAAGAAAAAGAGGATGAAATGAAATCTCTGCTGAGGTTCCAATTATTTCTCAACTATGTTGTCAATGACAACGTTGTCTGAAATTTGAAGCACTAGCATTTTAGTTAAACAAACTGAAATTTGTTTTTCTTTTGCTTCATTCTTCAGAACGACCTCATCGGTCCCACAACCACAATGAATCACTGACGTTAACGGTTATCTCATTTCCAAACGAAGACATATTTTCAGCTTCATTTGAAATGCCCTACCGTGTTCATTCAGATTTTATAAGTATTGATCGACGTTGAAATTGCAAAGCGTTGCACATTCGACTGTTTAGGCCTGAAGAACTGTCTAGTTTCTCGAGAAAACAGCTTAACATTTTCGTTTTCAATTTCATTATCACTAATCGGTTCTAATTTGATTTACTGGATTCATTTTGAAAGGAACGGAAATAGAACTAGCTGAACGGATGAATTAGAAATAGGCTACTGATTAAACTCAGCTGAAATCGTACTTCCTCTCAACAGCCTAATGCCTCACCGAGCGCTGGGAGGTCTTCCTGGGTGTCGGACTACAATGCACACTGGGAGATCCGACCACACGGCAAGATCTCCCAAGCTGAGAAGAATTCACGCCTTTCCATCAGGAAGCCTAGCTAGGAGTAATCTAATGCCAGGATCCACCACCTT